CGGGCAGCAGGTAAATCTGGCAAGCTGAAGGGGCCTGCCGCAGTTACAGCGGGAAGCGAAGTTGTTGACGAAGCGGGCAACACGACCTCAAAGCCGGCGCCGAGCAAGGCCCGGCCGGCAAAGCCTGGTGTCAAGCCCACCAGCGACCGGCCGGAGCCTGCCCCGAGCCCTCTGGAAGCCGGAAGCAAATCAGGCCCAGGCCGAGGTATCGTACCACCACTGACCCAGCAACCCAGGAGGTTGCTAAGCGGCCTGACGCAAATCCGGAAGCTGGCACCACATCAGGAAACCTACCCCACACGAATTTGTGGAAATCTGCACAAATTCGCACAAATCTCCTGGAGACCCCATTTACTTGACCCCCCTGATTCCCTCGCTCGAATTTGCGTGAATCCACGTTCAATGGCTGTGAATTGCAAGGAAATACTAGCTCGGCCATACAATCTGGGTACTTCAATTCACATTGTTTTGCATGTATTTACACGCATAGCCACTACATCCACCCTACTCAATTCGTACCTACAGCTGGCATTCGCCCAGAGCGCTCGCTGTTGCCGTGCCTGCCCCCTCGCGCTCGTCTGGTTGCTTGCTTGCCCATCTGTCCGCTCGTCTGCCCGTCGCCCACCCGTCCATCCATCCGTCTGCATGCCCACTCGGGCGCGTGTTCGTCGGCCGTGTCTGCGAGCTGCGCATTTGCCCAGCGCGCTCTCGGTCACCGTGCGCGTGGTGGTTGACCGCGCCCTGTGTCCGTGTGCTCGCCCTCTCGCCCTCTCGCCCTCTCGCCCTCTCGCACTCTCGCCCTCTCGCCCTCTCGCCTTCTCGCCTCTCGCCCTCTCGCCCGCCCGCTCGCGCACCCACCCGTCTTCCTGCTCACCTACTCATCCGCTCACGCACCCTATCGCCCGCCGGTCTGCCCGTCTTCCAGCCCGCTTGTCTGCTTGCCCGGTACCCATTCGTTGGCCTGGTCATTCGCGTGCGTGTGCGTTCGTTGGCCGTGCGTGTGTGCTGGGCAATCACGGTCGCGGGGGGCGTATGCTGCCATCTGCCATTTGTCCACCCGCCTGCCAGTGCGCACTCGTCCACCCAGCCACACGCCCGTTAGTGCACTCGTCAACCCATTGACCCGCTCACCCACTTACTCACCCACTCACCCGTTTGACTTCCCGCCCGCCGCTCACTCTCCCGCTCCCTCGTCCACTCGTCCGCCGCCGTCTGTCCATCGGCCATGCCTGCACCTAGGGCATTGGCCCTGAGTGCTCGCGGTCGTCCGCTGCACGTTGCTGTGTTCCGTGTCTACGTTAGTGGGCTCGCTCGCGTGCGTCTGCACTCACCGCTGGACTCTCGCCCTCGCCCGCCACACCTTCCCTGTCGTCCGATCGTCATCTGCTCGTCGTCCCCGCTCGTCTTCCGCACCCAACATCCGCTCGTTGTCCCCGCTCGTTGTCCGCGCCCGCCGTCGCAACAGTGCAAGTGGATGGGTGGTCGAGCGGACGAAAAAGCAGTCGGGTGACGGACGAGTGGGCGGATGAGCAGGTGGACGAGTGGGCGGATGAGCAGGTGGACGAGCCGGTCGAGCACGCACGGACGGCCAGTACCTAGATATGCGAGGGGGCAAGTCCGGCGCGAGAGAGCGAGTGAGCGGATGTGCCATAGAGCTGGCAGTGCCAGAGGTGACAGACGCTCGGCGGGCGCACGCACGGGTGAAACGCAGGCATCCGCCATCGCAGAGATATAGCTAGCAAGCGTCGGTCTACTACTGGCCGTTCAACGTGGAGTACGTCTCGACGGTAGGCAACGTCACTTCGTACTCGGGAAGATCTCTCCCACGCGGCGCTTGTAGTCCTCCTCGCAGAGGTCCATCATTCCCGAGTGAACCGGGATGCGCGTGCGAAGTCTCGTGGCAAACATGCCAGCCTTCTTAGCTTCTCGACCGCCCTGTCGCTATGACCAGTTGCACCAGAAAGCGTAACTGCGTCGGGAGAGTTGTAGCACCCGATCTCGAGCACACCCGGACCGAGCTCTGCGAGCACTTCTGCGATGATTGCTCCGGCCTGCTCCGGTGAGCAAGCCAGGGCAGCCATCGTGTCGTCCTCCTTCTCGAGCAAGATATAGCCTTGCCACGGGCAATGGCGAGCTCAAGAGCGAGAGCCCTCGTCCCGCACCACTGGCATAAAGAAGGACAACCTCACCGGTGGAATGGCCGAGCAAGACGTCGGAACGAACCCTAAGAGCAGCAAGCGTGTCGGACCAGGGCTAGCTGGAGCACAGTGAGCGAGGGAAGAGTGATGGTGATGGCCAGATAGCACCGAGTGTGTCGCTGTTGATGGAAGTGTCTGCAAAGAGTCCAACCGTCGTTGATGAGGCTCTGACCGGTCGCTGAGAGATAGACTTGGTCGAGCTCGTTCACCGTATCGCGGGCGGTGGTCTTGTAAAGGTCACGTCCCACTAAACTGTAAAAGGGTAGTCAGGTAAGCAGGCACACAAACTCACCTACAAGTCTGGAGTTCTCTTTGGAATCGACTGCCCCTTCCTCTCGAGTCGTCTTGCCCTCGTCGCGATCCTGCGGCCTTGTTTTCAGGGAGTAAGTTCGAAGTCAGCCGATACGTTGCGTCTCAGGAGAGCCACGCGGAAGCCGACGCTTCGCAGGGCTTTGGTTTCATAGGGCACAGGACTTCGCGGCGAAGAAACGGGAGGAGGAAGAGTTAGACTGCCAGCCGCCAGCTCAGCACGCCCACATCGGTAAACTCCGAGGTGGGCGCTTGCACTTCAAATTTTACTCGCTGATCGTCTCAGAGGCTCGCCCACTCGATTCCCGCCCTCTCCCTGTCGAACTCCGTTACGACAAGCAGCTCCGATAGAGCTTTGGACGACCCTGGTACCGACTTCGACGATGCATTGCCACACCCGCCACGCAACCCGCCCACGAGCAAAAAGGTCTTCACGACGGTGCACTCCGAGTTCGGCCACTGTGCGAACGAGCTGCGCGTGCTCTAGTGAGTCCCGAAGTAGGCTGGGGATCGGATGGTATTGAGGTGTGGTCAATGGACAGGTGAGGCATGATGGATGCGACACCACCCGTCTGCACGAGCTACTGACTGCTCTATCAGGCGACGGGACGCACGTACAAGCCCATGGCTTCGAGCTCAGTGAACGTGCGACGTGTACCATCGAGCGCGCTACGTTCACCCACTCGCACAACAGAGCGCAGGAATGCAGACACGCCCCATCCAGCATGTCCTGCTGGCTACTCTGTCAGAACGAAGACAACGACGAGATGCTTGCCCATTCGCCACCCACTCGCCCACCCACTCGCCCACCTACTCGCCCACCTACTCGCCCACCTACTCGCCCACTGACTTGCCCGTCAGTTTGCCTGCTGTCTCGCTCGGCCATTGTTCTTCTGGCCCGCCGTCTCGCTTCCCCGCCATCACCCTATCCCCGTCGCACGGCCCCGCCGCCACATAGGCCCGCCATCTCGCTTCCCCGCCCGCTTCCCCGCCCGCTGTCCGTCTCGCCCACGGGCTCGCTCGCTCTTCATCTCGGTCTCCTGCCGTCTAGCCGCTGTCTCGCTTGCCCAACGTCTTGTCTGTCCGTCGTCTTGCTCACCCGTCGTCTCGCTCACCCGTCGCCTCGTCCGCGCGCTGTCTTGTCTGTCGCCTCGCCCGCGTGTCGTCTTGCCCGCGCCCTGTTGCTCGTGCGCTCTCGCATGCAGCCTCGCATGCACCCCCTCGCCCGCGCTCTCCTCTGCTCGGTCGGCTGACCACCCACTCGTCCACGCGATTGCCCACGTGATCGCTCGCTCGTCCGTGCGCCCACTTGCCAACAGACCCGCTGCCTGCCCGTGGACCCGCGGACCCTTGGCCTGACCGCGAACAGCTCACACATAGCGCAACAAGTAGTCGGGATATGCGTACCATTCAACACGTGGTACGTCCCACATCCGCGACTGCGTCGACCAGATGCACGGCTGTCTCCGAGTTGACAGGCACGCAGCGCACCCACGGTGACGGAGAGATTTCGACATGGGTCTTCGCACGACGCGACCACTGGCTCCTTCGTCCTAGCGAATTCAGTATACAACAAGCACGACAGGGGCAGGAGGAGAGATGATGGAGCGAAGCTGGACGAGATGAGCTGTGTGTACATTTACTGTTGTGTATTGTAATCACAGCCAATCGAGGCATCCGATGTACATCATTTTTTGACGTGGGTGTATATGAAAATGTGTTTCTGCCTGTTCGGAAGGCGTTTGCACCGATTTACAAGCCATTCGGAGCGACGGGCGCGCCGCGGTGATTTGACGCCGATTTGCGCCACATTCGCGCAGGGGTGGTTTCCTGATGCCAGTCGGAAGAGAAAGGCTCCGGCCGAATCCGAAGCCGACGCCGACAGCGAGGTGGTCATTCTGCCGACGCCGGGTAGGTAACGGTCAGTGTCGCATGTGCCACATCTAACATCCTTTCATTTTTTAGTCAAGCCGAAGAAGACAAAGGACGTGCCGGCAGTACGCACCGGTCGTCCTGGACCACAGCCACACGAAGATAGCCCAGCCATCGCCGGCAAGACTTGGGACGAAAGGCGGCAGTGGATCAGGCAGCTAACCGTGGACGACGGCGTTACGAAGCTCGTAGACAATCTACACCACCTGGTGGGTGCATCCTTTGAGGCCTGGGCTACGTGGTGTTGACGAGCAGCGACCAGCCGGAGACCGGAGCATGGCAATCGAAGACGAAGTGGGATTGGGCGAGTTGGAAGTACCGCCGCGCAAGGTGCACTCCGGATATCCATACGGACAAGGCTGTCCTCACGCAGTTCCGCTCCTGGCTCACCAGAATCCGCACAAGCCTCACCGACACTCAGATGGCCGGGAAGACGGCCTCATGGTCACATTGGCCATTGCAATGGTTGTAAAGGATGTCGAGAAGAAAACCGAGCACCGGAGTGACGAGGAGGAGGAAATCCCGCAGTACGTGCACAAATCCCAACTGACATACCGCTTTGTCGAGGAATTGGGGGAACACTGCACCGAGATCGCGGATCTCTGGTCGGACATGGCATACTGCATGCAGAAGAAGCGGAAGGCGGATGGAGAGCCCCAGAAATCATCCGCCATCGGTGCCCGGGCAAAACGGTCCAAGCCCAATGTGTCTGCATCGCCGGCGCCGGGAAAGCGGTCGGCAAAGAGCACGAAGGCGACCAGATCGTCCACTCGCCGGCGTTAAATATACATAGATATCCTGCTACTGTATACGTTCAATTTCAACAACGTGCCTACCACCTTATCATTCCCACCTCCCATAATGCATCACCGGTGTCTTGACCTGCTAGCCCTGTGTGAGTGCGCTCCCCGAGATTCTCACCGAAGTCTCGGGCCGAGAGGTATGTGAAGTCCTCGGCCGAGTGTTGTGTGAACTCCTCGGGCCGAGGGTTTGGTGAAATGCTCGGGCCGAGAGTTCTGTGAAAGTATCGGGCCGAGAGTTCGGTGAGATTCTCGGCGAGAGTTCGGTGAGATTCTCGGCCGAGAGTTCGGTGAGATTCTCGGGCCGAGAGTTCGGTGAGATTCTCAGGCCGAGAGTTCGGTGAGATCTCGGCCGAGAGTTCGGTGAGTTGCCCGGTCCGGGACTTCGGTGCAATGCTCGGGCCAGGATTTCAGTGCAGTTCCCCGGTGCAGAATTCGATGAAACATGGTGGCAGGAAACTCGGTGTTCCTATTGGGCCAAAAATCGGTGGTATGCTCGGTCCGAATGATTGGTGAAGTCTCGGGCCGAGGTGCTGGTGACGTTCTCGGACCGTGCATTTGTGTGTGTTTGACTCGGGCACTCCTGTGGCTTTCAGTCCGGTCTTGGCGCACGAGATACATTGTACATTTGGCGAACTCTATGTTACACTGAGGTTTACACGTATTCTACAGGACAGGTAGGTTATTCCCGGCTTATCTCATTCCACCGCATTGCCCCATCCATCTCATTCGCCGAGCCCGTTACCGGCGGTTCCACATCCCCAGACCTGGGGCCCCGTTTGATTGCCCGGTCCCGGATTCCTTGGGGAGTTCGGCGGAAGTGGTGGGGGTGCTTCAGCCGGAGGAGGTGGCGCCGCTGGGCCATTGCCCGAACCCGGTGGGACGACAGAGGCTGGGCTTGTTGGTGCCGATGTGACAACCGGGGTACCCTGTTGAGGCGGGACTGTATCGGAGGTTGCCACCGACGGAATGCCGGTTGTGGAGTTGACCGGTGCAGCGAGCGGGAGACGGGGAACCTCAGCCGCCGATGGTGCTGCAGCCAACGTGGTGGGCAACGGCTGAATACTCGAGGGCGGGGATCGGGCGGGTGCGATAGTCGGTGCGATGGCAGCGGCGGCCAGCAGCTGAGGCACCTGGCTGAACAGGGGCCTCGGGATGAAGCCCCCAATTCCGCCTGCACCGGTCCCGAACTCGCGACTGGCCCAGGCGAGACGAGGGGGAAGTGGCGGTGGCGCCGGGGCTGCCTGTACCGTCGGCACGGACACGGTAGCCTCGGAAGTCGCTCCGACCGGGGACTGTCAGGTATGAATGTTAGACAGTTGACGATCAATGGAAAGCCAGATGGGTAAACTCACCTTTGAGGGCACCACCGGGGACGACGCCTGATCGAAGACTGCAGGATGCCCTGCCGGAGCACCTGACGTGGTAGCCGCCAGCTGGTCACGCATGCCATCGTCCAAATGCATGTCCGCTCCCGGCGCCGGCTCCATGGTCTCGGCGTTGGGCGGTGGTGATCCGGACATCGACGTCCGTCCCATGTCGTTTGTCAGTCCCTGCGGTCCACTTGCCGCGCCCTGGATCATATCGCGGAGGGCCTCGATGTAGGCCTCTTGGTCACCCTCTCCCAGGAATGCCAGACCTGACCGAAATGTCAGTTCGAACAGTCAATGTGAGCAGAACAACTCACCGAGCAATCGCTGATGCTCAAGCAACGAGTTGTTCATGGCCTCCAACGCAGCCACCCGTTCATTGAGTTGTCGGACGTCACCCTCGAGCTCGCGGACACGCAGCTCCGCGTTCCCGGCGAGCTCCGCCGGGCGTTGCATGACCACCACGGGCGGGCCGAGCGAACCACGAACTCCACCCGGGCCAACTGGATACATACGCCCTACAAAATTAGTGGTGCGTATGGTCAACGGAGGGAAAGCCAGCGTACTGATGTCACTCGGATCGGGCGGCGGGTCCGTTGCAGTCTTCGCCCGCTTGCGTGGGGGCTCAGGGCCAGTCTCCGCCTTTGACGATCCCTCGCCCCGGTCCTTCTTACCCTTTCCTTTCGACGGCGGCGCACTCCCCTTCCGTTTGGGAGGCTGCTTGGTGACCGGGGTCGGGCGGCGCGACGGGGTGTTGCTGCGTCTGGTGCTCCGCCGGGACCCAGTTGTCGCGACCGAGCCGTTCTCGCTTTCGGTGTCCGAATCGCCATTGGTGGTTGGGGGCCCGTCGGCGACACTGTCGGAGCGCTCGGAGGCGACGCTGCCTGCGTGGGAACTTCCCGCCGACGACTTCTTCGACGACCTCCCCCGGCCAGCCTTCTGCGGCTTGAATGTGCCTTCGGTGTCGATGGCTTCGCACTTGGTCTTCTTCACATGGCAGAAGTCGCACGCGGCGACCTTTCTCTTCTTCGGCTTGCCGTCCTTCCAGAATGCTGACACCTTTTTGACCGAGATGTAGCAGGGGAATCCCTTGCACGCAGTGCAAGGTGGATCCTGTCAACGAGGTGAGTGGTCAGAACACACGCTGATCAATGCAGCTCACCCGCAGTTCCCTGTCCCCCCTCTTCCGGGTCTCACCCTCGGCCTCGTAGTCCATCACGAATGTCGCCCGGTCCTTCTTGATGGCTTTGGCCTTTTTCGCGTCTACCGTAGCGTCCGGCGTGTCCAACTTGAGGATGCCTTTGCGCCCCGGCTTGCCTGATACCGACGTGTCAGCGATGCCACCCAGACAGATGGCAGGGCACTCACGCTTCCCCTTTGCCTTCGCCGAGACTTGTTCTTCTTCCTCCTCCTCCTCCTCCTCCTCCTCCTCCTCCTCCCCTTCCTCCCCCTCTTCCCGCTCGAGCTCCTCCTCCTCCGGCGATTCGTCGTCCTGCCGGCGCGCACGCTGCTTTCCCTTGCCGGATCTCGGCGGGGTCGTGGACCGCTGACGCTTCTTCGTTGCGGGCTTCTTCCCCTTCCGCCGGGATTGCGTCGGTTCCTCGTCATCGATCTCCATGCGGTCGTCCGGCACCGGCACCTCCTCCTCGCCATCCGAGTCGTTTCCCGCAAGCTCCTGGAAGCGTACGGCTGGGCCCTGGCGGGATGGTCCCGCGGTTGCATTCCTCGAGCCACGCGGGGAATACAAACCCGTCACTGCGAGTGGGTTGTACCACTCACAGTCCGGCAGGCGGTCGTCGTCCGGACGAATGAGCGAGAGCCTCACCGGGACCCCCTCCGCGTCGACATGTTGAGCTCCACGATGGCCGACAGGAGCACCAAGGGGATCACTGGACGGTCCTCGGGATCCTGTTCCTGCGACCAGGCCAAGGCGATCTCGAACATGACCTCGCGCTGTAGAATATGGTCAGCATCGCTTCGACCCTGCGTGATATGGATGTATACTTACCACGAGGTTCACCAGGGGTTCCATCTGCAAAGTCGAATGTCAACACCACCGGTCGGTGCCCAAAGTATGCTGTCAATACTTACGATCCTTCCCAACAGCTCCTCCTCTTCGTCCACCTCAACCAAGCGGCCTCCAAAGAGTTTCAGGAGACGGTCGGTTGTCTCCTGTAGGTACGCGGCCATTTCTCCCGGCCTCATTGCCGTGACCGGAGGCTCGGGGTCGTAGGCCGGTTCGGCGGCGGCGGCGGCGGCGGCGGTGGCATCTTCGGTCGACATGGTTCAGGCGAGCAGACACAAAGCAGAGTAGACGGAGTTGCGAGGACGGGGGCGGGGAGACAGAAGGTGATGAAAGCAAGAGACAAGCGACGCGAAGCCACACCGATCGCGAAATCCAACACCGACGGTCACGTGCACCCGGCGGGCCGCGGAAATTTACCCGAAGATGAACATCGTGATGGCGCGTCGCCTTGTTGTTGCATTCCATTCTCTACCAGGTCCATCCACCTTGGATTGATGTCTGCACAAGGTACCGTGTGTTCTGCATTTGTCGGGGCACGTACTGACTACTCCGGCCAGATTCTGCCAGTCCAGCCGCATCCGGCATCAAGAATATCACTGGCGCCGGCACCCAGCCCGAGGTGGCGCGCCCACTATCCGCTGCGGAAGACGGGGCTGTTCAGCCTGAGGTAAGCCGATGTTTCCGATGTCTTCCTGAGTTGCACTGACAGTCCTTTGTGCTACTCGGCGAGACAGAGCACAGTCAATCTCAGGACGCAGACTCCTAGCACGGCACCCGGGATGCCAAGACGGGAAGCTACCGTGTTCGGCCAGGAGGGTTTAATGTCCCAATGAAGCGTAAGGGCTCGCATGCCCCGCCCGGAAATGTAAGTCCCTTTGTCTTGTTTCCTCTAACACTGACCGACGTGTATGCAGGACCGAGCTCAGTCTGTCCGGCGCGAGACGGATGCCGGGGATGCCGGGGAGTTACAGCAGGCGCCAGTAAAGCGTGTCAGAACTTCGGTGAGTGCTGCTACTCTGGTACGTTAGCAAGTTCTCGACACTAATCAACGCGATCGCTCAGCCAACCACGACACGGGTTACTCCGTCGGAAACGGATACGGTGGATGCGGGCGTTTCGCAGGCACTGCCACGCCCCGAAAGTCGACATGACGCAAGTCAGGTACGCGACGTTCCGGCTTGCATGGCCTGTGCATAACTTTCCTTTCCTCATGACTTTGATGCACCACGCTCTAGGCAAATCAACCCCCGGCGCGCGCGGCTACCGAGGCCTTTGTCAAGATTGGAAAATGGGGACTGCCCTTCAAGAGGAGGCCGGAGGTTTGTGTTTCGTGCTACGTGAGTCGGTCGGCACTTACCAGGCTTTGCACTCGGGAAACGAAAAGATGTCGGGACGTTCGGGCAACAGTGCGCCGCCTCGCCAGCCCGCTGTTGCCGGAGGCCAAGCCGCATCCACCGAGCCCGGGGTAGGGAGGAGTGACCCGGACGTTATGGTCGTGGGCCACACGAAGCCGGCCCGGGGAATCACGGTCAACGATTCCGACGTGGAGATCGTGGACGACGGGAGCCAAATCCTCGCAGGCAGCACAAATCGCAAGCCGCCGCCCGCTGTGTCCACCAAGCCTCGTCCACGCCCTCGCATGCTGAAGGCACCTCGGCCCGATGGGTTGTTGGGCCATCGTTGACTCGGGACAACACGACTATGGCAGGCGGCCGGGCGGCGCGATTGATCACCTATGGGCACGCATCGAAGCCCGATGGCATGGCGCACCCCGCGCTTGAGAGGGAGCAGCCGGGTCGCGAGATCGCCCACGCACCTAGCGGGGCTCCGGATCCAACTGTGTTGGAAGACAGCCAGCTCAGGGCCTCGGTACGTGGTTATCGCACTATGTCAGACATATGCTCATTGTTGTACCCAGTCTTCAGACATTACGGAGTCGATTGCGAACAGGGACGAGAATGGTGAGTGACCTTTTCAACGGGCAGTTGTGCGTGGCCTGGGTCCCGGCACTGCATGCCGGGTAAGCTGTGTGTCCCATGCAGAAGGCAATACACTCGCCCGGACGGCGGGGTAGGCTTCGGCGTGCATCAGGACTTCATGACAGCTCTGTGTCAAGTCTGATGACATCGTGTTTATAGCATATCGATTCCACGACGAGGCGATGTTGCTTGGCAGGGAACAAGATCCCTTTTTCACATTCTCGGTTACAATGACTGACCGGTATGATTATGGAAATAACCTGTGGGAGGCAGACAGTCACCCCGCCGTAGACTGGCCGCCAAACTGTACTGTTACGTTTCCACGGCCCTGATTCCTTATTTACTGACTCTTTGCATACTCAGTTCCCGGCCCAGCGTTCACGGGTTCCACACCGACAAGAGTTGCCGAGCTTCAGGCTGAGAAGGCGATCATCATGGCCCGCATTGACGCCCTCAACGCGCTTCAGGCAGCTAACAATCGGAACAACCGTGCCATTGACTGGGTGGTCGAATACTATCAGGCGAGGGGTCACTCGGGGTGATGGGTCTAGTCTTCACGCGTGTATTAGTTATTCGTAGTGCACCTGAATGCTATGCTGGCGTGGGTCACAATAAAGCCTTCGCCTGGTACCAATGAATGCAGAGCACCCAGTTCAAATGGCCGGCTGCATGGTCTCAAACTGACCGGCCGGAACGTTGGAGACGTCGGGCCGAGTGCACCCTGTGAGCCCGGGTACGGCCGCAGGGCTACATAGATGGCCGGCCGGAACGTTGGAAACGTCGGGCCGAGTGCACCCTGCGAGCCCGGGTACGGCCGCAGGGCTACATAGATGGCCGGCCGGAACGTTGGAAACGTCGGGCCGAGTGCACCCTGCGAGCCCGGGTACGGCCGCAGGGCTACATAGATGGCCGGCCGGAACGTTGGAAACGTCGGGCCGAGTGCACCCTGTGAGCCCGGGTACGGCCGCAGGGCTACATAGATGGCCGGCCGGAACGTTGGAGACGTCGGGCCGAGTGCACCCTGTGAGCCCGGGTACGGCCGCAGGGCTACATAGATGGCCGGCCGGAACGTTGGAAACGTCGGGCCGAGTCCACCCTGCGAGCCCGGGTACGGCCGCAGGGCTACATAGATGGCCGGCCGGAACGTTGGAAACGTCGGGCCGAGTCCACCCTGCGAGCCCGGGTACGGCCGCAGGGCTACATAGATGGCCGGCCGGAACGCTCCCAACGTTGGGCATAGGACACCCGGGTTTCACATGAGCAATGCTAATGTCCGGCCGCAGCTACTCCGACGTGTCTGTGGAACCATGCATCCCGGGCGGTCGCCACGTTCGCAGTATGCTGCGGCAACACCGGCCGGAACGCTTACATCGACCGACTGCTTGCTCCGGTCGGCCTCCGGGTCAACGTTCGAAACGACCGAATCTCACTCCGGTTTTGACGTTGGTAACGTGTTAGACACACTAAATAATGTGGAGCAATTTGCTTCCATGACGACAACGACCTGCACATACCTGCACGTCCTCTGTACCCGCCACAGCGAGTTCAAAGTTGAAGCGTCCAGAGTTCGGACGCCTGAAGGTAGACCCGGGTTTGGGCGGTGGTGGTGGTCACGAGTAGGACGGTTCGCGCGAACAGCACGGTGTGTAACGAGTACAGCGCGCAGCTAAGACAGCCCGGGTATGCGAGCACTGGCAGCACGGTGTGAGCAGGATGGTGCACCGAGTCAAGACGGCGTGCAGGCAAGACGGTGTGCACGAGCAGGACAGCGCGCGAGTAAGACAGCACGCGAGAAGGAAATTGGGTCGCCAAGACGGTATGCCAACAGAACGTTAGACGAACAGGACGGCGGGCAAACAAGACGACGCGAGGGCAGGACGGTGGCACATGAGCAAGGCGGATGCCATTCCCAGTGAGCCGACGCCTTGATTGAGCCAGCTGACGCTTCGAACTCACAAACAGACGTTACAGAGCCCGGCTGGTCGATTCACACTATCAATTGGGATCACGAATCCCGATTACATTGCACCCAGGTAAGTACATTATGTCTACGTCGGCTGCACCATCCTCATCGTACAAGCCGACGCGTCGGCCGGCGTAGGCTACTCCCATGACATTCCGCGAGACGGCACGTCGGCTACAGGATAGGCTTCGGGTGAAAAGGGCTGCATGGTGTGAAACAACAGTCTCTCACGTCCACACAGGCCTCTGCGCAGGGCGCGATGATGGCGCTTTCAACATCTAGTCCGCGGAATGTTAGTTTCTCTGTCCGTTATCCTGCAGATGTCCGCTCACCAAGGTTTCACAAGGTCGCCATCTATAAGGCTCTCCGTTTTGAGCTGCGCGGTGACAAAGTCGTCCCTTCACCATGGGGAAATTGGCCATTATACGTTTTCACGCAAGTTGTACTCTGAGCATTACAGTGTTCCCATGGGCTCGGATGAGTCGTGCCAGAGACCGGGGGCAATGACAATGTTCGCGCGTAAGACGGCGGACGGCGCAGAGGCCAAAGCAGGATGGCGCAGTGTTACACATAGGCGTTCGATCATTATTACTTCTACAATCAAGTCGGGTCATTACTCAGGGACTCATGGCCCTCTGGACATGAGCACTCATCGACGCGGAACCGATGAGACCAGAGCGTCGCACGCTGGTCGTAACAAGGAAGCCCACAGAAGAATGACCATCACCTGTTACCCACCCACCCTAGCAGATCGTTGCTTCCATCATATGGAAGCTGCTTATCGGCGCGCTCTTCACGTTGTGCAACTTGTTCCGCTGTCTGTTAGGGCTCGTGGGCTCGGAACCCTAGATTCAGGGGCCGGGCTGCCTCGTGAACCTACAGTTGGTGGTCGCGACGCGACCAGAGGGGGAAAAGGTGTCTTGAGGTCGTGAGCAGGGCGAGGAGCACCTGCTGATGTCGTTAGCAGGGCAACGAGCCGTGCTATGAGGGAGCGCAAGGAGGTCCTTGGTTGCCAGCGACGAGCTGGGCCAAGAGGTGAGTCCTAGACGGGCTGTTGGGCCAGGTCAAGGAGGAGTCCAAGGCGAAGGCGACGAGCGTAGGCCGAGGGGAGTTCCTAGGCGGAGCGATGAGCCTAGCCGAGGATGAGAGAACTGACTCGGACGGTGCGAAGAGTTCGCACTCGGACGAGGTGATAGTTCAGGTGCAAGAGTAGATTACTTCCCAAAATGGAAGTCAGGTGGCTAGGTACATTGAGATAAGATGAGATGTACACTATCAGTTCATAATCTAATCTAATGGACAGATAATGGGTTATCTATCCGTAACACTGTCCCCGACTTGTAAGGTTTGCAGTGGAGGAGGGAATTACAAACATGCTACTGGTACTGAGAACAGACCGTCGTTCTCAAACTTATACCTGTGCAAAATGCAATTGCTTCCACCCAGTGGCACGATGCCTAGCATTCGCATCGTCCTTCTCACCATACTTGTCGCTCTTTCACTGTGGCAAAACTCAGTGCTTCTACATTGAGCCAAGAGCATCCGCGCCTCGGTGCCGCATCCCCAGGCATTTCGAACGCCCAGTATTCGACCTAGTTACAGTATGTGGTGGGCACAGAATAGATGACATTCTTCACTGACTACTTTGCGCAGCGTTCATAGGGTCTGATGTTCCGTCGGAGCTACCTATCGAGTATAGGCTTGTCAGGCTCATCCCCGAGGAGAGTTTGCACTACGCAGTAACAGGGCCCGAAGCACGACTGGAGTGGTTATGGACAGGAATGGAGGGGAACAATGATGCCCACCTTGGGCCAGAGAACCGAGTGTTCATCGTAGCCATGTTCCACGAGCTACACTGCCTACGTTTGATGTGAACGGCAATGGAGACAGGCTACGCAAACCTCGGCGATAGGGAACCACAGCATTTACACCACTGTCTCAACTATCTGCGCAAATGGATTCTGTGTTCCGCCGACGTGACGCTCGAGCCGGGGGACTTCAGGCTACGCGACTTCCAGACAGACAGGCTTGGAGTCACGCACACGTGTCGAGATTGGGAGCATATCTACAGCGTGGCACAGCAGAATTGGTTCGACTGGGAGGAGTTCAGGAATGAGCACTGGGATGCTAGCACCGGACAATTTATTAATGTAACAAAGGCCGGACGTGATACTACCTGAACACGGTCTGACACGTATGGCGTAGTATCTGCTACAACGATGTATGTGGTTGTTGTTGCGTTCGACCACGTCTCCACAAGTAGACAAAAAAGATAGGCCTACCCTGTAATCATAGTAGCCTGGTCGTCTGCGTCGGACGCTCCATAATGTTGTACGAGTCCTTTGCTTATGCTTCTCAGCCGATCTTCAATGGCATAGTTAGACGTCGCTGATTACTACAGGTGCTCACAAATAATCACCGTCAATGTCGGCACAGTTAAAGGCCCTTGAGCACGTTCGCGCAATCGGCTACGGTAGTTGACGTCGAGCTGAAGGAAACAAAGCCAGTCAAAAGGTCGGCGTAAAAGACGCATAGGTTGATTGACAGCAAGCATCTGCTACGATTAATTCCAAGCCCTTGTGCATTGACTACTTACCATGAGGCGCAGACGAAAGTCTTCAGACATCATTAGTCATGCCCGGCAGGTCGAATGAAGAACATGGAAGGTAGAATGCACTTGTACATCAGCGCGGCAGGAGCTGGCGCGACCTAGGTCTTGAGGACGTCAGTCAGCAGGTTGACTGTAAGATCCTAGAATCGATGATATGAGGTGGGTCGGCTGCTCGGGCCACAGTGCAATGTAGAGAACGCGTACGCATGACCTCCGGTAAGTTAGAATGGTAAGCGCCGGAGGCGGTACACTGTACTTGCAAGTACTGTATAACAAACGCACACGAGGATTCTTGAGTGAACAAAACGACAGGCAACTGACTCCAACACTTACCGAGCAATGCTGCGGAATCAAATTACTACGCCCTGCCTCGCTGCAGTCAGCGCAGCAAGTCGCGAGCGACGGACGGACGAGGCTCACTTGAAGCTTGACTCCGGCTTGACTCTTCAGCGCTGTAGCCCTCTACCCAGTGGTCATCGTGAAGCGTAAGATGTCCCGACCTACGAGACCGGACATTGATCCTCCTTGTGCACCTCTCACATTCACCGACTTGTCATTGACCCTCTTCAAGTTCACGCCCTCATACACACGGGTCAAGGGTCTCTTTGTGGGCCGTGGCTGTCAAGTGACCCTTATGGAGCCTTTCAGCTACGTGACATGTAGCAAGCCATCCAGAGGAACATACCTGGCTTTCAATCAGTGCTCACTGGCAATGAGGATCTGTGTGCGGCGTCCGAGTCCTGAGCGCTCAAGGAAACAATCACTATGACAAGGCATTTAGTACCTTGTGACAGCCTGGTTTCCCCTGCACGGATGACTCAAGAAAGCGTCGCAATGAGGGAGACACAGAGAAGACCTGGAGAGCAGTGGGCAGTGGGCAGGGGGAAGTGGGCTGCCAGTGGGTACATACGAAGTTGACAACGAAAACCACCGTGACGCTCCAGTTATCTACCACGTGATCGCGTTACTGACATCAGCGGCGCCGCTTGGTGGGATACCAACACTACGACGAGAGCCGCTGCTCATTCGTCCCAGTCACACACTCTCGCAGAAGACGGCGGCGCGAATTCACAAACGTCAATAGGGGAAGCTCTCAGACGCCCTCCCTTCCAGAACGAACCTGTCAATCCCGACGTGGATAATGAGGCAGTCCGGGACAGGAGACGCGAATGTCATCCAGGCTAGAGGACGAGTCCCCGTGTCACCCAGCTCACTAATACTCACTCTGGTATCAACTCTACGACATCGAGAACCTGGGCTCTGGGTGTTGAAACGTGTGTTCCTCGATGCTCGATCAGCCCGAAGGTGAATGTCTGTACATGGGGAGGAGCGGGTGCATGTGTTGCCCTCTGGAGTCAGGTTCGCAAAAAGGAGGCCCGGCGGTGAGTCATTTTTTCTTTCGCGACCAAGGACTGCTGATAAATCAACAGTAGAGACGAACATAGTACAGCGCCGTCGTGAATAGCTTGACCGCGCAGACGTCAAGTTAGAGGACGAATAATGTGGAGCCCATCTAGCTAAACTGTCCATTGTTGCCCGGCCACCCGACGTCGGCCGACCGTTCGACTCCAGCGGTCGGTTCCCGGTGGGCCGACGGCTTCGACGGGCGTGTCAGCGACGAGGCGGCCGGCGCCACCGGAAGAGAATGACAGAGCCATTCTGTCCGTGGCGGCCGACGTTTCAGACTCTGGCAACATTGTCGGGTCGGCCGGCATCCGATGGAGTTAATGCTATCGAGTCGGCCGGCATCCGATCTGATTATACATGTTCAGCCGGCCGACTATTGTAGCTCGCCAGCGCGGCTTCCATGGTCCAGTCAGTTGCTGGGTTGGCGGGTCGGCCGACGGTCAGACAACCCACTGGTGCAGTGTCGGCCGACCCCATTGGCACCCGCACGGCCGTCATTCAAATCACACATCAAGTACCAGTCGGCCGTTGAATGTGTCACTCGGTACCACCCCGTCGGCTGGCATGAGACTTGCCTTATTCAGCCGGTCGGCCGATATGAGACTGCAACATCATTCACCAGTCGGCCGGCATGAGACCGGACGTTGGTAGCTTGTCGGCCGACTCCGCATCGACTAGTCATACCCTGCTCGGCCTTCCGCTTTCACCCCCATCCTGTCCGTGCCGGCGCATAATTATCCGCCGGTAAACCTAGTGTCCATCGTTGGACATGGGAAGTGTCGGTCAGTCATGCAATGCCAACTGGCGGACCAGCCGACATGACACTCATGATTGCACAGGCTCTCTGGGACGCTACGGCTCCGATGTTGTTACCCGCCCTCCTTTTTGGAATTTGACCATGGTGACATATTTCAAATACATTGGAGCATAACCCGGAAGCCAAATTTACACTACACATATACTACTGCTCGTCCGCGGGCCCATAGTACTTCGCCATTTTGGCGAGAATCGCGCCACTCCGCCTGTTTGCCCTCTGCAGCTCATGTAAAGCCTCCAATCGCGCACGGAGGATAGTGCCTTGCTGAATGTCGTGTTGCACCATTCGTGGTACCGGCCCGTCGTAGTGGGGGCCCTGCGTGTGGTTGCCCTCAACTGCGGAGTGATGTTCAATTCCATTGAATGAAGAAATGTGGAACAACTTACATTGACTTTCCTCTCGGGACCCCACAACGGAGTGCCACGGTCCAGGAACCCCTGGTGTGAACAGCTTTCGGCCGTTAGAGTCGTCGTTCAAGCGGAAAAGCAATCCTTTTCCTACACAACAGATAGTTGTCAGCTTGATGAACATAGTCATGCCGCCTCCCGAGGGCACTACCATGCGGTTGGATGTCCGCGTTCGGGCGTCCGACATCCGGATTCCGAAGCCGCGCATCCGAAGTCGGGCGTCCGAGCTCGGATGAATGAGAATATGATGGTGACCTTACCTTTCGTCTGCGGGATGGGCCTCCAGTCCTGACCTTCACTTTGCGCCGGTGAACCCATCCGCTCGTCAACCAGGGCCTCTGGCATGTTGACTGGAGTCCCGGAGTCTGACCGAGCACGGCTCGTCGTCAGCGCCGGGCCATCGTCATTGGTTGCGGCGGGTGGGGTCATTTGCATGGCCGCAGATGTCCCCCTAGATGTCTCCATGTCCGAGTCAGCATCAACTGCGGAGGCATGTCAGATTCCTTGTGTTTCTAAGGATTATCAAGCAACTTACGTTGACTGTCCACCAAACTCCCAACAGAGCCCGACGGCCCGAGAACGACACCTTGTCCTATGAAACATATCAATGTCAGCATTATAAACATAGACACACCACGAAAACCAGGCACTACCATGCGGCTGGTCGTCCGACTTCGGGCGCGACGGTCCAGGTTCCCCTCCCAAGACAGGACTTCGCTTTTTCCTGTTAAACCCGACGAGAAAGCCTTCAGCTATAGAATGTATTAGTGTCAGATTTATCAACATAAAGTGGTCACCAAGCGAGGGGTGCCATCAGCTGGGCGCCCGACATCGGGCGTCCGACAGCGGGCGTCCGACAGCGGGCGTCCGACAGCGCGGTCGCTCGCTGTCGGGCGGTTGACCTCGGCTGTGTGAGAAAGTGACCATGCCTACTTACCTTTCTTCCCGTCGAGCGGCTTTGCAATGTCAGGCAGTCTGTGCCATGACTTTGCGATATCGGGCAGTCCTCGCCAATTCTGCCTATGTGCGGTTGCCGGTAGACCGCGTCGCTCTTCAACCAGAGACTTTTCCAAGCTTACGGGACTCCTGAGTGGTGGTGGAGAACATGTCTTCGTCGCAATACCATCCGCAGCATTTGTTGAGGGCGGCGGCGTTCTGGGGGCCGCTGAAGGCGAAGTGAGACGCGTCCGCGGTTCCATGTCGGAATCAGTGTCCTCCGTGCTTGAAACGTCAATCGGTGTTGCACCCCGGTAAGGAGGGGACTCTGGAACCTCCAACGAACGGAGGGCCGACCAAGCCATCACTGCCCGCCCAGCCGGGGCATTGAGAGGACCGTCGTCCGGCTCGGAACCAGTATCGTCGCCACTTGAAATCTCGATCGGGATAGGGAGATTGGGGCGCTGCGTATTTGAGTTTGAACCCCGCATGGATGTCCCCAGCGACGCCCGTCGAGCCGGGACGAGGACCGCACCGTCTCCCGCCTCAGATTCAGTCTCGTCACCGCTTGAAATCTCGATCGGGACAGGAGGTTTGGGGCCGGGCGGATTTCCCCCCACACTACCGACATTTGACCTACCAGCCGATACCACCCCATGTTCCGCCATGCGTACGGGTGCCGATGTGGTAGTGCTCCGTGATCGTTTCGGCATGATAAAGACGGCCGTCTCCAAGCCGTCTTCATCGGAGTCCGCATCCGACATCTCCAGCACGCCGAACTTGAAGCCGGTGGCACCAAGAGACGAGGCACTCACTGCATGCGTTGCGGGTGTGTCGTACCGGCCATCCGGTTCGAGGTCACTGGAAATGGGGATCGGCGAAGCCTCCCGGACCTGGCTTCGAATTTTCTGAGCCCGGCGATTCGCGGGCGGCTGGGGCATCACAAACTGGCGAGGGGGAGTCACCGGCGAACCGCCGTCCTCCGTGGAGATCACCATGGCCTGTGGCCCGGTACCAGTATCGGCCCCGCGTACTCCTGGCCCACCATCCGGTGTGGTGTCCTGTACTGTGCATCAGCTACCCGGCACTATGTCCGGTAAGACCTGCTTACCATTGCATCCAAGTTAGGCCCGTGCTCAATCGTCTTCGCCCTAGCGGGTATGACATACGGCACTAAGGTACACAATATCAGTCACTATTCATGCCACGACCTCTACCAATTGCCATCCGACATACCTAACGTTTCATCCCCATCACTGTCATCCTGAGAGAACAAGCCCAGTGAGCAGATCATGTCATTGGCCTAGTCCACACAAACTCACCAAGTCCAAGGCTTGGAAGTCATCGATCTCCTGCGTCGAGCTCCCACACTCCTTCCGACCGCCCGACATCTCATCGTCTGGTGACGGGGAACCAACCGAACCTGGGCATAGAACCGTTATTCGCTGCCAGCTCGCCCGTGCAACACAGGTACATACCGTCTTTACGCTTCATTCTCGCGATCACCGAGGTCGACATGGTGGTAGTATTTGATAGACCTTGGTTCAGATCTCATCAGTGAGATCGATCGGATGGTCCGCGGCGCGGCTCAGCCACACACCACGTGTTTGTGGCTGCGTTCCCACCGTCGGCTGCTGGCACACGGCGCTTACGCGTCTCTCTTGAACTTGCTCTACATCATCCCCTCCTCCGTGTCTCGCTCCGCTGCTCTATCCGCTACCTCGGCTTCGCGTGCGTCATGGCCTCAGCAAGCAACCCTGTTCCGCCCGAAGACGGCCCGAAGCTCGTGACGGAAAAGCAATACAAGGACCAAATGGCGTTCTATGAGGGAAAGATCGCGGGAGTAGTGCAAAAATGGCGGAGTACGGCACCGGGCGAAGAAAAGGAAATTAGGAGATTAGTGAGTGTCTGTGTTCCGCCCCAGTGAAAATGCTCACCTTCGGCTCCTGGAACAGTGGAGGAAGCTCCACAAATGGGTGGTGAGTTTCTTGTATGATGGACCGTGTCCACGCATTCTCACATGTCTGCCAGACCGACGCGGGCGAGGCCGCGGGCATCGCCGACGCGAACGGGTGGGACGTGGACATGCCGTCGTTGGTGATATCCAGCATGGAGGAATTGGCAGCTCCAGCGGACTTGGATCTGTATCGAAGGTTCGCCCGAATCAAACCGAACGACCCGAGGATCGCGAGCAATGAGTGGTTTACGGGGTCTCAAGAGCCTGCTACCCCTGGTAGGGAGCCGTCGCCTGTCGCGGGCGCGCTGCGACCGATTCCCACCGCTCCCCGCCCGCACACGGCTGTTGCGTTCGCTCTCCCGCAGCACCAAGCCGACGAGATGGAGGTCGACGAGTTGGGCGAACCGGAAATCAGCCCACGGCCCACCGTCCCCCTGCCCCGTCACCGCACGAAGCCACCAAGACTTCGGCAAACCCTTCGAAACTCACCACCCACGGTGCCGTTGGGCCGAAGAACACGAAGACGAGTGCGTCCATGAAAGGGAAGGGCAAGGAGCGTGCGATCACCATCGACTCCGATGCGGACGACGACCGGGAGCCTCAGCAGGTTGTGCCGAAGGCTAAGAAGGCCCCGAGCAGCAAACCGAAGCCGAAGAAGCGGGCGGTCAGTGTCCCCGAGGTGGAAGAGGACGACCAGCCGGAACCAGGGGTGCCGAAGAAGAGGACGACGGCCGCCAGCAACGCGAAGGGAAAGGAGCGGGCGGTCAGGATACCCGAAGAGGAACAGGACGACGAGCCGGAACAGGCTGTGCCGAAGAAGACGACGGCGGCGGCCAGCAAAGGGAAAGGAAAACAGCGAGCTGAGAGCGTCGTCGCCGACGATCAAGACGACCGGGTACCGCACAGTGAGTCGTGGATCCCTGATGTCTAATGTATACCTACCTCAACCTCTTCGGCAGAGAGTGTTCCGGTCCGCCCAATCCTCAAGAAGGCGGTGTCGGAGATCCCCTCCGAATCCGAGCCGGATGTAACTCCCGGCATGGACCTCGAGAACCGGATCGAAGAGGCCATCGAAGTCGATGATTACCGGACTCTCGTCAAGATCTGCAAAGCTGAGCGCGCGCGGTTGAACTTGGGAGAGTTTAATTGGGCGGGCTCACACAACAAGCGGCGTGAGAATTGGATTCGCCTCATGGTAAGTAATGTAGCTTGTTCATCCGTCCGCGGATCTGAACGCCATTGCAGGACACGAAGTGCCAGCGGTGCCATTCAATGCACTGCTGGATATCGAGTGACCCCAGAAGAGACGTCACGACATGCGACGAGTGCTTCCGCAAGCATAGGCCCTGTGTCCCCTTCGACGCGGAGGTCCCAGTTGACCCCGAGTCCGGGAGGTCCCGCTCCCGATCGCGCACTCCGTCGGCGGCGAAGGCTAACCCTCGGAAGCGAGCCCGATCTGCGTCAGTGGCGTCAGTGGCCACTGTGCCCCCCGACACAGACCCTGATGGCGGGGCGGACTCCGACACCGCCTCCGTCGCAAGTACGTCCTCCCGACGAAGCACGCGCATAACCCGCCGCCCGTCAAAGCGGCCCCGCATCGTGTCCGAGCCAGCGAAGCGGACGCGCGGACGCTCGCAGAGCAAGCGGAGGGATGCTACGGTAGAACTACAAGTAGTCGAGACGCCCCGTGGGACGACCCCCAGCGACGTCGCCGGCCCTTCAGGCAGAGGACCTCAAGTCCAGCGACCAAGGGCAGTCCCGGCCTACATCGGTTTACCCCCGTCCCGTGAGTCCTTCGTGTTTGTTCGTTGTGAGATGTGCTGATAATGCCCAGGTTTGGCCTCTCTCCCTTCCGTGCAGGAAGGCGAGCGGTTTGTGAGCCTCGAATCGTCGAGTGCTATCTCGCGGGAGCTCCACACCTTGCGACGGGAGAATGTAGAGCTCCGCGATAAGTATGACCAGCTTCGGCGGGACTTCCAGGATCTGTGTGCGCACCTCGGTGTCGAAGGTACGTGTGACCGGGCACAAGTCGCGACTTACTGACCGGTCAGTTGCAGGGCGTTTCAACCACGACAATGTGCCCGATGGCGCTGGAGGCCCTCTGCCGCGTCTGGTTCCGGTAGCCGTCCGGATCCCCTGCTCGCCGAGTCGACTATGGACCCTGAGCCTTCGGCAGGCGTGCCTCAGATGCACCCACCCATGATCGACAACGATGTCGATATGGATCAGGACCGGGTGGCTCCCGCAGCCATCACGCTGTCCGGGCAAGCCGACAAAGCCCAGGCCGAGGGTGTCGACATCGGTGCGGGGAATGAGATCAAGGCGGGAGAGCGATCCGAGAACTATCCACCGTTGTTCGACGATGATGTCAACATGGATGATGACCCGGTAGTTCCCAGCACCGGCGTGATTTCTGGGCAACCCGAGACGGCCCAGGCCGAAGGTTTCGATGTGGGGTCGGCGGAGTTACCGAAGATGTCAGAGGGCTCCGGCGGGAGTCACTCGGGAAGTGTGACGCCTCATTCTGAGACGGCGACTTCCCCACGACCTGTCCCCGAGAGCCCCGATGTGTCCGGCGCATCCGCCAAGTCACCGGGCATGGCTGACGACGAGTGTGGGCAGAGTCAGCTGCCCGGTCAGGCTCAACAAGCACCGGGTGTTGGATCCGACGACATGCACCATGCACTCGGACCAAATCGCATGAGCATCAGCCCGCCGCCCAACCGTCCGAGGCACCTCCCCCACTTCCTGTTGCCCTCGGCGAGATCTCGGGCGACACGCCCAATAGCGATAGGGAAGAGGAAGGCGGGGCGGGTGCATACACTGAGCGGAACGTCAATGACTCTCAAAGAACCGTGCCCGAATCCACCCAAGAATCGATCCCCGCAACACCCGATGCATCCGACGACACCTCACACTCACACGATGTGAAGGCCCCTGGCGCATGTGCCATTTCTGCCGAGGCATCGGATGCGGCAACACTCAAGGACGCCACAGTCCCGGTGAGTCCTTCGCACTTGTATTGGGCAATAGACATTGACAGCACTTTGCAGACTGCTACATCCGCGGATCCCGCCCACATCGACCACCCTCCCGAGTCAGATCCCGCCCACTTCGACCACCCATCCGAGTCAAAGGGTGAGGCAGCGATACAACCCCCCCGGTCAACAGCTTGGCCCAGTCGACGTCGGCGGACAAGGGCAGCTGCCAGGAGAGACCGTCGCAGTTGGGTCCTGGTGAGGAAACAGTCGGGGACCGGCCGCATGTCAGCGATTCGCCAAGGCTCCCCGGGTGGACGACATTGAACGAGGAGACTGTGCAGTCGGGCAGTGGACACGAAGGCGAGGAAGTTGTGTAACCGGCGGGGTCGGGCGCCGAGAAATTGTAACGTTGCGAATGTAAAGTACGATATGATTGGCAAGGAAATGATCGACGTTCGCATGGTCCGTGTTGGCTATGTCTGATAATATTGTGACATCTCAGTGCTTAAGCCCCCGGGATACTCATCAGGGCTGATGCAGCTCCGCCGCCCGACTTCCGAAGTCCGACGTCGGACGCCCGACGTCGGACGCCCGACGCGGACGCCCGACCGCGGACGCCCGACCGCGGACGCCCGACCGCGGACACCCGACTGGCGGCGGGTTGTGTGACGTAACATTGGTGTGGAAGTCACATTGGTTCAGTCGGATCAGCCGGGCAATTACGGTGCGGTTGAGCCATATCTGACCACGTGAGTGTGGTTGTGTTGCCACCGACGACGTGCGGCTCTTTCTGCTGAACTCCTTTCTTCTCACTGACAACACATTTCGGATCGACTGTGTAGTTGCCTGACACCTAAGAATCATGACTTCGACATCCACTTCTTCATCAAACCCTACTGGTGCTGCTGAAGTTAACAACCCACTGTATCGGTTTCAAGAGGCCATGGAAGCGAATGGCGTCATCTATATATATGGCACCCAGATAGCAAACAAGGTGAAGCAGTCCAAGGATCCGCGGTATCAGGATGCCGATCTTATTCGGAAGATGGTGAGGCAATGCACATTTTGATCCTGACCTGCACTGATAATGTGTTGTCAACTTGCAGTGGAAGGCCGTCCAATCTCTGACGGTATTTTGTCATTTAGACTCACACTGGTTTGATAAACTTATGCACACTCAGTTCAACATCGCGGATATGTTACGGTCTGCCACGGAAAAGAATTGGCTGGTGTATGTGCCCCCCATCGCCATTTCCGCCATGGAAGAGCTAGCCAGCAATGCGTCGGACGACTGCAAGACACGGATGGCCCGAATCAAAGCTGATGACCCAAGGGTCTTCAAGAACAGCTGGTATTCTGCGAGCGCGCCGCCGGGCATGTCCCACTTGTTTCCCATAGCCGATGCGGCCACGGCCCCTGGTTCATCACAGCTCAGTGCTATCCCCAGGATGCCCCAAAATGCTTCTCGCACTGTGGCGGACCACTGCACTCAACAACACCGTCTGCGACCCGGGATGCAGTTTCCTTCGAGCTCCCTGACTTCGGTCGTGTTGCTATGGACGAAAATGGACCCGCCGAGCCTGGTGTCGCCCGAGTCCTCGGCCCACACCACCAAACATGGAGGATGCGTCGGCTACGCCCCATTGGGAGTGCCTCAAGGCATCGGACGACGAGGTGGACAGTGCCGTGAGTGAGTTGGCGATGGGTCGGCGGATGATGGCAACTGATGCAATACAGGCCCACCGCACGGATACCAGCGAGGAGGTAGATGAATTGGAGGAGCGGGTGATCACAACGGCTAGAGGCCAAGGGTACACGTCGGGCTGAGACGACACATTCCGGCGACAACGATGGTGGGCAGGGGGGTTAACTTGGCGGAAGGCGTGCGGCTCGGGGATGCAGGGCAAAGGAAGCGGACGGGCTCAAACAGAGACATCAAAATCTCGCTGCCATGCTGATGAACGGCGGAAAGTGGTGCCAGCATATATCGGGGCGCCGCCACCGAGTGGGTCATCTCACCTATTGCATTGTAATGGTGGCTGACATGGATGGGATTACAGGGTATGGTCCTCGGGCTGGTCATGCAAGTGACCAGGGCATCGAGCTGTTCGAGACTGCAGCTGATGTCTCATGCGAACTGTATGAACTTCGGCAGGAGAACGCGAAGCTTCATGTGATGCACGACCAGCTTCGCGAGGACTTTGCGGCTTTGCGGCAGCGCCTCCTTGCAGATACCAAGGCAACTGACTCGACCAAAATGTCACACAACAGTGATTAAATTGCATTTTCGTGGTTGTATGTACATGTATGGCAGCCAACTCATTTCAATGGAGGATCGCCTGAAGCCAAAGCGCAACTATCAGCCTACCATGACACCCCTCTTCGAGCCTTGATCCGCATCACTTGACGAGCGAGTTATACAGGGTGTCCGAGCGTCCGACAGCGGGCGTCCGACAGCGGGCGTCCGACAGCGGGCGTCCGACAGCGGGCTTCCGATGTCGGCCGCCATACAGGGACACCCATATGTCCGGTTGTCACACAGCTGAGTACATAAGTGTTTGCAGGCTGCAGAACACTTTGCTGTGTTGCTTGCACCAGTGCCGTGGGTTGGCAACATGGAGCACGAGGTATATTTGCAGTGCTTTGTAAATAAGCACAGAGTGCCACAACGGTTGTACACATTCTACACCACAAGCGTATCCCATCTCACATGTCATCGAGGCTAACGAACTCAGTGTAGTTTTGAGTAAAGTATACCGTATCTTCCATGACAGGGTGCTCGGCACCCCTCGCGAACCAGTCATGGACGTCCCGCTCATTCGCCGCCAAGGCTGACTCCCAGAACCGAATTTCGGCCGAGATGTATTCGTCCATGTAGTCGTTGTGCGCTTTCAGCGCGGCGATGCACTCATGGAGGAACTCAATCTCCTCCGCTTGATCGAGCACCTTCTGCATGGTGCCGTCCTGCCTCGGCTGGCCAAACCCTGGGGGACTTTGCGGAACTGGAATGACGAGGGAGGGGAGGAGTCGTAGGTTCAGTCGGTACAAGGAGTGTCCGACATGCTGCCGACGGACAAGTCAACGGCTGTATCAATGGGAGTACAAAACATACTCACCTCCTGGCTGTGGAGCATCTCCACACGATTCATGGCGGCTTGATCCGCCTCACATTCCGCTATCTGCGCCTCTACCATCTCATCCACTGCCTCCACCCGGCTGTTCTCGGCGGCAAGCGTGTCGTGTACTTGTGTGCGAAACGCGGACGTTGAGACCTCACCCGGGGGGAGAAGCCCGGTGCCTAGTGATTCTGGCATTAGCCGAGACCATTCTCATGCTAGCTACACATACCATCGTCGACCTCATGCTTCGCGGACATCCATGCAACACCCGGCGGGACCTGAATGAGGGGCTCCGGCTCTCGGCTCGCTTTTGGGATGACTATGTCACTCAAACGTGAAAGTGTCGCTTCCCCCGATTCCTCCGCGCCACCCACGATATCCCAAAAGCGGGCCATGGCATCCGTAATACCTAGCGCCGTCTGGGTGTTCTCGTCGGAAAGACGCTTGAGCCCCGTCGTGAGCGCAGCCATGCACTGAACAAGAAACGTATCAGCGCTTCACTCCATGCCATTGCACCGAGGTTCTACCATCGATTTCACAAGCTGCGCATTGGCTTCGGCTGTGCTTAGGTTGTCTTGCCAGCTGACAAATGCTGCCTTCGCCATTGGAAGGGCCTGGTTGTCGCACACATTGTCGTAGTCTTGCGCGGTGGGGACGGCCATGGAAAGGACTTCGGAGGTGGTGAGAATTGCGATTGAGTGATGAGATGAGAGGAGATAGGAGGGTACGTAATGGACATGGGATCAAGCCATTGTGGCCATATTTCTCACACTCGCCACAAGCACGTGCATAGCAGGGCATGCGCGACCACGCGGTCCGAGATCATGCGTCGTCCGACATCGGGTGTCCGACATCGGGCGTCCGACATCGGGCGTCCGACATCGGGCGTCCGACATCGGGTCCTCGGCTTGGGCTGTATGGATACATTCGTTACCTCGCTTTCTCTTCTCTGTATTGCCTATCTCATGCCCATATTTCGATCCGTCCAATCACCAATATCCGTACGACATAACAGATGCATAGGTGGAATAATCGTCGGCGGCAATACGAGTGTCAATCCTCATCCTCGGACTCGACCTCGACGTCCTCCTCGACCTCGACTCCTCGTCGCCCTCCTCGTCCTCGTCCTCTTCATCCTCGTCGTGCTGCTGCTGCCCCTCCACCCCCTCGTCGCCACCATCGCTGCCCTCAGCGCCCTCGCCGTCGCCTTCATCGTCCTCGGGATTGTCGTCGCTGCCATCGGCCTTGTCACGTTCACCCTCCGGAGCCAACAAGAAGGCCTCGGGAGTTTCAATCATCTCCCGGGAGAGACGCGCATGAGCGACGGCGTCTGCCTCGCTACGCTGCACCAGCTGATCGATCTGGGCCCGGAACTTGTGGTCGTAAATGCTCCCCCAATGTCCCTTACCACCTTTCACACCACCGACGAACGCCCAACCAATGCCGCCGCCGCCGCTTCGGTACGGACGGATCCATGCCGCCTCCGTCCCAACGATGGCGACACCGTAAGGGAAGTCGGCGGTTGTTATCGGAATGTCGAGCGCGATCCGCATGAGGTACGCCTTGAGCTGCGTCATGATAGCCTTGCGATGGGTCGATGTCGGTGTCGTCTTGCCCTCGTCGAGCGAGCCTATTTCCACGACAAGGCGCGGAAGCTCGGCCTTCAGCTCGTTCGTGCCGATCTCAAGACCATAGTACGACGCGACGACAAAGTCGGGCATCTTGGTGCCGCTCTTCTGCCGCTTGAAAACGACTCCTCCTGCAGCAGGTGAGCGGATGCCCTGAAAGTGAAACACCGACCACGTACCCGTGTAGTCGGTGCTCACGGGAGCACCGTGGCTGAGCACTTCGCAGCAGCAGCCAGCTCCGCGTTGCCCCGGCGGCGGTGAAGAACATCAAGAACGTCCTGCCCCGGAACGGGCGGGCGAAGCGGTTCTTGGGGCTTGACCATGTCGTGCCGAAAGCGCACGGAGAGGTACTTGTTCCATGCTCCGTAGGTGGAGTATTGGCTAGACGTAGGACACGTCCGCCAGTGGTTGAAGATTTGCCTGAGGCGATTGTCGAGATCGACATGTCCGTCAAATGATACCTACAGGGTGTTAGGGTTGCTGCCCGCATGCGTCCAGGCATCACTGCTTACCGCGTTCATGTTTGTCGATGCTGCACGAGTGTTGCACGTCGGCTGCTGCTTAAGACAATGCCCACCTTCTTATATATGGATGTATCGTGCTCTGAACATGGCTGCACGAATGCAATGATTCTCGGCCAATAGGGTCTCTCGGAAGCGCTGCACGGATGGAGAGCACATTTCGGATGTTCGCCTGAGTCATGCAGAAGGCGGCATTTGGCCGTCGGGCACGGTGATGCGGCCTCAGCAATGGTCAAGAGACATGCTGATGGAGCACAATGACTCATTGCCGCTGTTTGCTATCTCATCGTGCGGGGACTCCACACCCAAGTTCCGCACAGAGATTCCCTTATCGCTGGATTCGCAATAGAGACGTATCCTCCCCATCGGAAGCTCCGTAGCTGTTCCCGCCTTTCGTCCGCTCTCTTGCGGAGCATCCTCACACGGCCGAACTCAGCTTGTCATGCGCTACCAACGGCCTTCGCCTGAGGCCACGGGTTAGCGGAACACGGGGAAGAATCCGGTATGCATGACATTGTCTTTGAAAGCAACGCTCACACGCCCGAACTCAGTCTGACATCGGCTCCCGAACGCCTACTGGCGCAGGCCCATAGATATCGGAACACGGCAGAAGGAAGCAGCGTGGGTATTAGTCACGTGATTGTGTCAGGCACAGTGTCAGGGCCATCATAATATAGATCGCGACAGCATCTTATCTGTTAACGGCAATCTCACAAGCAGCAGCCACACAGAACCAAGTGAGTTCCATGACACTCTGGCAAGCGTTCGCATTGACTGACTTATCCATCCCCAGGATGGGCATGATTGGGGGCTACATACTGCCCGAGAGCAGTGTCCACGATTTCTGGGCGAAGAGGTGGGGTGAACAGCACCTCGAGGATACCCCGGCGGATGAGGAGCCCGGCGTGTATGACGATGTCTCGCACGACATCGTCTACTTAATCGAGTGGGTGCGCTCGCTCCCAGCGACTCACCGCGTTGCACCAGTTAGCTGTGCGTACCCTCCCCAGTTTTCGGATGTGTTATTGACACCCCCCTGATAATATAGGGCTCCTCGGCAAGCACGGCGAAACCGCCGTGATTATTACGGCATGGGAGGATCAGAAGAGACACTTCCGTCGCATCCTCGAAGACAAAGCTCAGGAGGAGCTTCGGGACACATTTGTGCAGGCTGCCAACGAGGCTGCTGGGCACGATGTGTTTGCTCTGAAGGACCTTCAGTACTTCAGCATGTCGGAACAATACCTCGTCCTTCCGCTCGCGATGTGAGTACCGACTCGCTTGTGCCGTTCGCTCCCGACGACTGATTTATAATGTAACAGGTGCTATGACCGTCCGCGCGCGGCACACGAAGTGCCGGTCAACAGCGCCCCCCAGAATGTTCGGGCCCCGGCCCTGCCGGTAATGTGTCGCGGCACGGCTGAGTAGCACTTATTTACTTGCATGTTGTTGTACCCTATATGCGTTGTATGATACTGTATGCCCGGCAAATGAGTACACAGTGGGCTCGCCGAGTGCGAGTCTGATAAGAGAAATTATATTGAATGGTCGTTCCAATGGAATAAACACTATCCCGGGGTAACGGACAGTAAGCGCAGTCTCATGTCAGAGATGCAGCTCGGACGCCCGACCGCGGACGCCCGACATCGGACGCCCGACATCGGACGCCGGACGAACGAGGTCGGACGAATGAGGTCGGATGAACGAGGTCTGACGACCACAATCACATACTCAATAGTCATACAAGTCACTCAGTATACATTCAATAATTATGGAGGAGTGAACTCCATTGACGTCCAGCCTCTCCTACACATGTATACACCACCCATGTTGTGTCATATGTACAGGGAAATCTAACCACGGCGAAGTCTTTTGGTAACCCGCTGCTCCTCCTTAGGAGACCCATGCACCCCTTTCCGCCCACGCTTCCTTATCCTCGCGCCGATTGCGGAGGCATCGGATCCGGTGCCCGGAGGATTCATAAGTCGCTTCGTCCGCTGAGGAACCTCCCGCCATTCTCGGGCCAATGCCTTGCAGGCATAAAGGAGGCGCTCCTTGACGAAAACATGGTCGTGGAGTGTCTGAAGTACGTGTTCCGGCAAATTATACTTATCGCGATTACTCGATAACGCCATTTCCAGATCGTGCAGCAGCATTCCAATCGTCAGAGCGACGGTCAGTGCCTCATCAACACTGATGGAAGTGTCCTTCATGCTCGTCGTTATCCGGGTGAGCCAGGACTTGAATGCTCTGATCTCGGTTGCGTTCGTGTGGACAGCGGGCGGGCAATGAGACTTCCGGTAGGACCACATACCCCATTCCCAAGTCTTGGTCGTATGCCAAGATCCGGCGTGTGACTGTCAGGATATCATTGCTCAGCATGGAGAGTACACACTCACAATGCGGAAGCTTACCAACGGTGCAATGACTTCCAACAGCGCACAATAGTATTGCTTCTTGACAGTTCCCGCAGAAACCTTAGCCGATCGAACATGTCGTCCCTCATTTTGGCAGGAGCCCCGATCTCAATCTCACAATCGTCATCGGGTCCGCTGACGATGGCGACGACAGGCGATTTATGGCCGCTTGATCACCGCCGTCCGCCCGGGGCACTGAGTGCGATGCGACCGCCATCGGTACATCAGTTGTACGGAAGGTCCTGAGGAGCCCTGGCGACCCGTACGGCGCATTGCATTGTGGGGCAACGGCTTGCCCGAGCGAGCGGTCTTTTCCAAAGGCACGGACGGTAAGCGTGCAGCACTATTGCGCTCACCGGGCAATGAGGCTGTATTGAACGGTTGGGATGGTCCGGCACCGTTCCTATCCGCCCGACGCTGTCGGGGCACCACCCGCGGTGGCGGACAAGGCGAATCCGACCGCGGCCCGGGGCTGCCCTGATGGAGTGGACTGCTCATGCGCTCGATAACGAGACCCGATGTCAACTTGACAGGCGCCGTTCGTCGCTTCACATTCGGCCGTGTCGCCGGACGATGAGATGGCGCCGGACTAAAAAGATCGGACGGAAAAGGGCGATCAGCTCGTCCCTTGCCTTTCCGATCCACCGGGACGAAGACTGGTTGCAGGATTGGCGACGACACAGCGGATGGGATGCCCGTGTCTGATGCGGGCAGGATGTCAGAATGCGGACTTTGCTTTACCGTCAACATGTCGATGTCAAGCTCCGATTGCAGGTTCGCCAGGGGCGATGGCGCGGCTCCCGGCGAAGACAGGGCGGCCGACCTTTCTTGCTCGTGAGGAGGGGGGGGCGGGGTAGCGGGATCGCTTCCAGTTGACGAGCTCGATGATTGGCACGTCGACGAAGAAGAGGACGATTCCTTGTCAGATGAATCATGCTGGTTGGCGATATCCTCTTCACTGTGTGCCTCATCCGACTGGTGTCCGGGTTGATTGTCCCGCTCATCATCACCGTCGGAAGCATCACTGTCTTTCGCCGGAGTCACGCTAGCACGCTTTGAGGGACGTCCATTCGACCGACGACCCTTCGGACGGGGGGACGACTGACGGCGCGGCGTGCGCTCCGGGCAGCGCGGCGGGAAGCAGTCCTCGGCTCCTCATGCTCCAGAGACACGATTTCGCTTTGATGGTTTCGGTAGGCAATGAAACGCATCACAAAGGCAAGCCGTGAGGAATTAGCCCTTGTACGCCAGTGTGCGATAAGAGAGTCAACCTCCGCCTGTTTCAGATGCGACGGTTCTTGGAGGGTGACACCGTCAGGAAGCGACCCGGCCTCGAGAAGCTTCTCCGGAGTCGCCTGGAGAGCGACCCAGGGGACTTTCAACTTCGGCATATTTGTATAGGCCACTGTTGCATCACTGTCAGCACCCAATGATATCACACAGATTGGATGCATACCGTAATGAAGCCGGACGAAGTCAGAAATAAAAGCCTTCTTGTTCCGTAGATTTTTGAAGCACTCGGCGCCGTGGTGGGGCATACAGGGGGTGTTGTCATCGTACATCTCCCAGTCAATCTTCGGCACACCCCGCTTACTCGCCCTGACATCCGCATCACTCTCCTCCGATAAGTCCTCGCCCGCTGCAATGAGGAAATTGTGCATGAGCTACCCGGACTAGCCAGGACATGGTGGAGGCCATTCACGTACCGAACAATTTGTGCCCATAGTCCTTGAATAGATCTCGGAACCCGTCCGCACGTTTGTAGTCGGGGTACATGTCCTTGAATTTCACCCGACCCGCTGCACGCTGGGCGTTGGGGTCGACAAGGTCGTTGCAATCAAAGCTGGTGATAACGGAAGGATGAGAATATATGGAGTCAATTACAACGGTGGTACTCACTCGATTAAACACGGTTTCCCTTCCAGGGATTTGTAAACGGCGTGGACGAACACACGCATGCCGAAGTTCCTCCAGACGTAATTTGCGAAGTCTAACATGACCGCTTTGCTCTTCCGAACGATGTTCCGGTCCTGCAATTCATGAGGTTGACCTTCCGAGTTCCATCGGACGGCCTCCTGCTTGTACTCCCGCTGTTTCGCCCGGGGCAGACTGTTGGCCAGATTGCGCAGCTCCTTTTGATAAGTCGCGAGAAAGTCCTTGTCTCCGTGGGTGACCCCAGTCACAGCCATCTTCTCATCCAACTCCGCGGGCATGTGCCAAGCTACCACACGGTGCCAGTTGAGCCGCCGGCCGAACACAGCAGGACGGTCTTTCCGTTTCTTGTTCTTAACAGGTGCGGCATTGTAAAACCAAGCCCGAACAGCCTGATTAATCATTATACAATGTATCCGCACTGCACGACAACCTACGTACCTTTTTTCCCTCCTTCTTCAACGGCTTTCCCCGGTGGGCCTCCAACTTCTCGACGGCACGCGAGCGGACATCTTTACGGTCATTTGAGTCACCTGCCTTCCACTCCGGGAGGAAGCTACGCAGGATGAGGAGTTCACCAGGAGTATACGATGTGGCCGGCATGGTGGGTGGAGAGAGCTAAGGTGGGATTAATGCACATCCGCATATCGGCAAGGCGGCTAACAATTGGGTAGACCCAACCGGACATGATGACAGCTTGGCTTGAGTACCGGGATGAGTATCTGCAGCACATGTACACTGCCCATGCCCCACCGACACCCGACGATACCGGCGAAGCGACATGCGACAAATGCTCGGCTGGGTCCGCAGAGTGGAAGTGCCTCTCTTGCTTCGGCCGGCCGGTGCTCTGCGATTCATGCTGCCTGTGGGAGCACGCCCGCCTGCCTTTCCATCGCCTGGAGCAATGGACCAATGCGGGTTTCTGGGCCCCTTCCTGGCTTCGAACCCTAGGCCTTCGCATTCACCTCGGTCACGAAGGCGCTCCATGTCCGTGTGTTGACGAGCCCGACAATGAGAGTGACTGGTCGGATGACGATTCTTGCAATGAATCCGACAGTGGTGAAGAGGATGAGGAAACCCTCGGTGATCCCCTGCGTGATGCGGCCGGGGTTGAGCGGGCTCCGGAAATGCATATGACAATTGTCGATACGTCCGCCGTGCACTTCCTCCGCGTCGAATGCTGCCGTTGCCCTCAGGCGGAGTCAATTCGCGGTCAGCTCCTCCAGGCCGGGCTTTACCCGGCAAGCCAGCTGAATGTCAAAACGTGTTTTACCTTCGACGTTCTGGATGACTTCCTCCTCGACAATCTCGAATGCAAGACGTCCGCGATGAACTATTATCGCCGACTTCGCCGGAAGACCAATCCGGCATTCCCGCATCGTGTGCCGGTAAGTCATGTCACCCTTGCGGACGGTTCGCCTTGTTCATTAGCACACTGCAGGATCGCTATGCGGAATTCATTCGTACAACAAGACAATGGACGCTTCTCCGGGCTATGATGCAGTTCGGATTCGGGCCGACATGGCGGGGCGAACCGGGCACGGGCGACCTTGCACTATTTTGTGCTGCCTGCCCACAGCCCGGAGTGAACATTCCAGATGACTGGGACAGTGACCCGAATGTGTGAGTGACCGGGCCGTAAGCCGGGAGCAGCAATTGAACGTACGGACAGGTACATTTACGCTCGAGGCTATGTCATGGACGGTAACTTCTCCGCCGAGCATATGAAGATGCGGAAGCCGGGAAACGATGTTCCGCTTATGCCCGGGAAGGCGTTCATGGTGATGGATGAAGAATTAGCACCTCATTTGAAGTCATCCACTGATATAAAAATGGTGCGTGTGGTGAAAGTTGTGTTGAGGGTTGTGCTGATTCAGTACAAGAAACCGACATGCAATGACCACCAAGCTATCGCTCGGGCCAATGCTCACCGCCACAAATTACAGTCTACGGGAATTGGGGCCACGGCTTGCTCACGGCACGGATGTTTCTTTCCACATGTGGTTGTCAACTTCCAGGCCGGTGAGCGGCAGAAGAACATGGATTACACGCTGTCGGAAGCTATGAGTTACCGATCGGACGGCATTCGGAACGCCATCGTGCTGTACGACGTGATGTGTCAGTATGGGGTGCACCTTCCAAAACGCTTCAAGGACGGTCCGCGGCTCCGGATGCCGCGGGGCCTTACCCTTTACCTCGGCATCGGCTTGTTCCATGTACATGGCCACCAGTCGAAGTGCCTCCTCGAGTACGCCCCGACGTTCATGCGCGGCGCCGGACAAGTGGATGGGGAGATCGTCGAAACGATGTGGTCTCCATTGGGTAAGGTGTTCGGAAGTGCTCGGACGATGGCGACGTCGCATCGGCAAGAAACTCTTGACCGTCATATGAACGACTGGAATTGGCGGAAAATGGTCTCATTAGGTGCGGGAAGCAAATCAACTGTCCGGTGTTGCAGGTTCTCACCCCCTTCCAGTCCCAGCATTGAAGAAGCGCATTGCCGCAAACCGGGTACTCCTTGAGAGCTTCCGAGAGGCGCTGGAGGACCAGGAAGCCGGGATCGAAGCCGACATCCTGGCTCATGGATGTCAGCGGTCGCGGAAGCCCACAAAAAGCGTGTGAAGGATGTATCAGTGATGGACACATTTGAGGTTCAGGGCCAGCATGGTGGGTGGCGGGTGGCGGATATTACACCACTGATCGCTGACATGTAGAGTAGCTCCGTCAAGGGCGGAAATACAAATCGGTCTGACCGAAAAAGAAGGTGATAACAACACCATCGTCGGAGCAGCGGAGTGGATGGTTGAGGGAATGAGATTGAGGATGCACAGTGCGTAATTACAATCCCGCCGCCGACATTCAACGCTCACACTCCGACAGAATGCGCTGCAGCGGGTAGTAAGGGCCTATGGGACAAAGACAACGGCAGAGCAGCGTTTGAACATCGCAAAACAGAGAAAACGGCTCGAACTCCGGATCGAGCGCTTCCTAAGGAAGGGGGAGGAGATTGTGGGTACGAACGAATGGGACGACGGTCGGCAGCATACCGAGGTTATCGATGACAACGGTGACCTATCCGACTGGGAAGACATGCAGAACAACGGCCAAGCAGCCGCCGGCCCAACGTAACAGGCAATGTCCCGGCTTCTACTCCGAAATCAAGAAAGCGAGATGGGAGGGCAGCGGAGTGGCGGCCGTTGTCACTTCCATCGTCCTACTCTGTCGACACGATCAAGACTACGGACGTGCAGCCATATGCAAAAGCGGAACTGGAGCTACGAATCGGGCAAGCGAACGACATCTTGCACCAATTGCGGATATTGCTCAGCCAAAAGTCGTTTGTAATGCGAGCGAAGGTGCGCGATGCCAAGTCTCAGTCGCGGAAGACACGGGCGTGGGCGGATGTGCATGCCGTTCAGAAAGGAGTGGAACACCAGGCCCGTATGTACAGGAAGGTGCGGCATGCGATGACAGTGCTCGGAGCAACAACGTCAACACTTCGAAAGTACCAAAAATTGGTGCCTGACGATTTGAAGGTCAGCACAGCAATTGTAGAACCGAACCAGAGGGGGCAGCGACATACCCGGCTACCCTGGATATGGACGACGGATGTTCAAGGCGATATGAACGCAAATGAGACAATGACGGAATGTAAGCAGGTTGCCGGTCACAGTACATCTACAGAGTCATGATTTTTTACAGTACACCGTGTGCATTGGTTCCGAGCACGGTCACAGTTCGAGCGAGCCGAAGAAGAGGACAATATCCTCCGCCGAGAGCTGGATTCTGTCCGGAGATACTTTGAGTACGAGATGAAACGGTGGGCAGACCATGCCGCCCACCGGAAGAGCGGAAGGTATCCTGGGTATGCGGAGGTGTGCCGTCAGCGGCGACATATGTTCAAAATGCTCCAGAATGATGCTGAGACTGCATATGGTATCATGTACCTTGGACGGTAATACAAACGGCCTCCTTGTATATTTACCGCTGTCCGAATTTCCCAACACTTCGGGCGTCCGACCGCGGACGCCCGACCGCGGACGCCCGACCGCGGACGCCCGATGTCGGACGCCCGAGTCGGACGCCCGATGTCGGACGCCCGAGTCGGACGCCCGAGGTCGGACGCCCGATCGCGGACGTGTCCTCTTCCTACACTGTCATGGTTCAATAACGCGGACGAGGCACACAGGTTCATCATGTATTCGGTCATGCTACAAACGAACATATCTAATACCTAGCTAAAAGTCGACTGTCAGCCAACTGGTCTTCTTCACCTTCGCCCATTTGTGTACTTGGGGTCTAAGGTAGTATACAACGCAAAGCCTCTCCCTATTGGAATGTGATACGGAGTGAGGGATTAGGGCCCCGGAGAACAAGCCGCGCACCCGCCGGCGTACTGTAAGGTGAGGCCGAGGGTCGGGAGCTCTAATACCGTGTCGTTGTCCCCACCAATCGTGATGAGGAGATCGTACCAATCCTTTGCCGACATTCGGTCAAGGTGGAGGGGCGATCGGCGGTTGGTGATAACGGACATGGCATTGAATGGAGTACCCCACAAGGGGAGCACGTCCGCAATGTCGGGACAAATCCGAGTTGAGGCGAGCGCCGCATAGCCCATAGCATGCAACTCCGGATGAATTATCCGGAGCATGCCCGCAATGAGGGCGTGCTGCTCTGTCATTGCCCGGAACCAATCCCGGCCGGGAGATTGTTCCTCCGATAAAGTTGAGGACACCTGTGGCGGATATGTAGTGCCCTGGGGGAGACAACATCAGTCCGGCACTGCTGGTGCGCACTGCTGCATACCTGGTGACCTTGCTGGTACCAACCCGGGGAGAAAGATATGCACCCGGGATCCAGGCTTTGCCATTGTCCGGTTGCCGCGAAGTTGTCCGGGTGATTCCGCCATGTTGTCGAAGCCTGCCCACGAGACTTTGCGAGCATCGGATTGAGTAGAAACATATTTTCCCATATCTTAAGCTGCACGGTGTGTTTATTAGCATCACCATAAGCAGGGAAGGTATAACGCTCGCCTGCTGCTCGGCCGTTATGATACCAGGCAGGTACCAAAGCAGAACATGCCCCAGTGCATCGACGACGGTGGCGGGCTGTGTAAAAATACCGTCGCCGAGTTCGAGGGGCGGGAATTCCTTCATGGCGCGATGAAGGCGCGGCATTGTCCGGTCAGAGATTTCCGCCGGGATAGCCTCCGCATAATCCTCTGCATTCCAATTCACAAAAACTTGGCTTTGCAGTGAGCTTAGGTGTGTCGCCAACACATACACCATACTCACTTCGACGAAGAAAGGCTTCCTTAATAATTTCGACCATTTGGTGTGCCTGGCCGATCATTTCCACACTAAAGTCGGCGTCCGGCGCGGGCAACAGATTCTGCCCAGCGGTGCCAGCCAAGTAAGCTAGTCTATACTCATACAGTGCAATCATATAATTGGCCGCGCGAATGTCGAGACTGTCGGCGGACATGGCGGGAGGAGATTGTGTTGATCATGTGGGAAGGTTTGATGGGATTTTCACAGGGTCTGTATAGTTTGTACAACAGTCACACGCAAAAGCTGTGGCTGGTAAGTGTCTATTAATGGTGTTATATGCCCGGGAGATCGGGCAGGTCTCCTTGTGATCAGGGCATGATGGGAGCCCGGGCCGCACTTTCCGGCGGTACCTTATCACGATTCAATAGTAATTGGAACGTCAGCATTCGGGCACAACCGGGCTCCATCCGAAATGCTGAGGATGCACACTGGTGGTGTTTGGGATGGCTAAACTGACGAACCAGCCAACACTAAGGAAAGGAACAGAGAGGGAGCGGGCTGGCAAATGTTTAGTGGAAGTAAATACGTTCGGCTGAAGCCCGGCCGAGTTCGCGACCGCACGACGCTCAGGTATTAGCCGGTTGACAATATGTTGGCCGGCAGGGTTACAACGATGTGATCGGACGCCGGCCGCGCACCGATTGTTGGCAGTAGTCAAATGTCGGCCGCACAGATTGAAGTCCATGTATCATATAGAACATGTCGCCAGCTGTCCAGCAACAATAGGAGCATTGATACGGGTGCGATGTCGGCCGACCGGGCAACAGTGAGGCCAAGACAAATTGGATGAATCACAAAGAATTCCAGTATGCGGATCCCCGGGTGGTCGGCCGACCGGACTGTCACGGCTTGTCTTATGACCGGCCGCTGTGGGAGCAGCATCTTGTCCAACCACCGGCCGACTCGGTACAGACCCATCCGTCAGACCCTCGGCCGACCGGGTGTATATGGTGAGATTTGACCGTCGGCCGCTCCGTGAACGCCGACGAATCATACCATCGGCCGACCCGTGGGTGATGACAATACAGAACGTCAATCCGCACACACCCTGTGAGCCCTGGTTGGAAACACCCCCCCATCCAACTCGTCGGCCCATCCGAGGGTAGCCGGAAGTTCCATGCATCGGCCGACGCGGGTAATGACGGCTGAGTCAAACCGTCGGCCGACGTTGGGTGGCCGGGCAACAATAAGTGAATCTCATGTCGGGTGGCCGGGTAACAAACCGATAGTTTGACCCCATTATGTGTAATGTGTACAATCCCACTAGTTGTGAAAATATGATGATTCTGCATTGCTTGGTATTGCCGAGAAGGCGCGTACCATCTATTCCATTAGTCTGCTTCGAGCCTGAGGCTCTTGAACACTGTTTGCATCAGGTCGCGGAACTGCGGACGTAATTCGAAACAAGATACTCGTTCTTGGTCGTCTTCAACATGTCAGGTGCTTATCTGACACTGAGGAGCGGTGGCTGACCTCATGTTATCAAGACTGTCGTCAGCGCTTTGAGTGGTCGATATGGGTCACAGGTATCCCGCCTGCCAGTGGTTTGTCCTCGCAACACATCCTTAACGTCGGGATACTTCTCCACGAGAGTCATACAATCCATCTCGGATTCGCCACACTGTATCAGTGTACCTGACGCAGGCATTCAGAAGCCTATGTATGCATGAGGAGCGGTCCCAAAGCGGTCCATATGTTTCCTCTCCGCCATTTCTCGGTGTTATCCGTGACTGTGCCGAATAACAACAGGAAGTTCAGCGCGGACTCATTTCCGCGCGGCGTCTCTGTATTTCTCAGGCAATGCCAGGCAACGTAGGTAAGTCTTGTGTCATTGTGCGATGCTATCTCGTGATCTCTTACTGTCTAGCCCAGCGAATAACTAGCGACCGGGAATGCCATTCACGTCAGAGATATGTGTAGGACTGACAAGAGGTACATCAGGAAAAAACTCTCCTGTGAATGAGCAATAATTACACTGTATTCCGCGTAATGAAGAATAATTGTGCGCATTCGGTCACTTCCAGTAATATACCACACTAGCTAGGGTCCATGGGTCCCGGGTCTGAGTGCTCAATATTACTACGGAATTATTGAGTATTTTATACGTATTCCGCAGCACATTAGGAGCTATTCATGGACATTCTACAGTTGGATATCTCGCCGCATTCCGTGAAAGAGCAAACAATTAATGCATTGCATGAAGAACTACTACTAGTAGGTGCACTGTCGGGACCAGAACAAGAGCGAGGCGAGCAGCAGGAAAGCAGGCATGGAAGGTATCGAGAGCATGAGGGGGAAGATGAGGATTAAGTAGCTGATTACTATCTACAGTATCATTGCCACCATGACATCCAGGCTCATTCGCCGGGCACGACGAGTCTATTCATCGGGTATGTCACTCCAGTCGATCTTGGCGGCATTGCCAGGATGCATGCCAGGATGCATTGCGTGTCCCACCCTACGATAAAGAAGTCAGTTAAATTCACCATCACACGAAACAGGAGTGCTGTACGTCACGGCTGCGAAGACATCATGCATGACTCTGTGGTATCGCTTTGGGCGTTCGAGGCGGAAGGCAGTGAGCTGCATCATGTGGGCCTGGTACGCAGGTGCACTGGTGGCACTGAAGTCGGAAGCCTTGCTTAGGCCGAGTTTGCGATCTGATATTACTGACTCGACCTCAAAGACAGTAAGAGAACAAGACAACGCAAATTCAATTATCCAACATACCGCTGTCATAGCCAAGGCCATCATAGTCAGCGGAATCTCATACTCTGAGGGGGCACTTGACAGCGACGATGCGTATGTTCCACCATTTTGCAGCCCAGTACCGAGATACTGCATGTGCATGAAGAAAGCAGCATGTACTGCAGGCTTGACAAGTGAGTTCTCATACAGAGAACGGCGATCAAAACCATCCTGCAAGTAGAAACGTAAGTATTGGATACACGAGATCATTGGTACTACACACCGAGAGCGTCCAAGGATAAATGTAGTTCATGTTCTGTAGAAGAGCATCGCCGCCAGGTACATCATGGTTGCCTGCAGTTTGACTCATGGATTGATATGCATGTTCGACAGATGGCGTTACAGCACGTTTGATTGCAGTTCGAAAGAGCCCTAGTCGATGGGAAACCTGCAACAACATATCAGTAAAGAAGCCGCAGGCGTAGAGCAATAAAACCGACGTAAGCAGTCAAGGGTTTGACATAATCGCTGTAGGACCCTTTCTCCAATCGTTCTGAGACGTCGCCCTGGCCAGTGTACCCGAGCTTATCAGAGGCACTGATTAACGCCTCAAGAGCGATGTCTTCGAGACCAGCCTTGTCCATTGGATTAGTCATTTCCTGGAGGTCGTCGAAACTAGCATAGTCAACTGGGTCTTCGAATCCAAAAGCCATCATACGGTCACCGACGGTGTAGCTGTTATGGATTACTTGCTCCATCAGCGCACTCTGCGGCTTGATATCCATGGTCACACTTCGTGATTTGCAGTTGATGACAATGCACGTCCGTGGCATCCAACGGTCATCGTCGTCCTCACGGCCGGTATGACGATGGTGCTTCGCGACCTTGATTTTCGAAGCAGAGGGACGGATGATGGGCATCTAGTGAAGAGTTGACAACATTCCTGTCGAGGTCGTATAAGAATGACTCACCTCCGACTTCAGTTTCTCTTGCTGCTTTTTAGTCAGCTGCAACAGTGGTTCACGCAAACCCAGATTTAAGTACACATACTGAGGTTACACGGTACGGCACACATACCTTCTTTGACACGGTCTGCGCTAAAGCCGGTCCAGTCTCATCAACCACGTCCGAGTCATCATCACTATCCTTGATATATTTCGCTGCACCGCGGGAAACAGCGTAGGAGCTTGTGTTGTTGTTACGAGATGGAGGATTGACATCATCGTCCTCGCTCTCCACTTCTTCGTCCATGACAACGTCGGTGTCGTCAGTGGTCGGCGGTTCAGTAGGATATGAACCAACACTTGAGGAGCGTGAACCCCTCGAGCGGAAGCGAGGCGGGCCTTCAGCTTCAAGTTCATTCATTGTACCGATGTTATCCGCATGTCGATTACCTATCCCGGTGTCGGAACACAGAGGCACGCCGCACAAGCCAGATTGAGAAACAGTCCGCCATTTGAACGTACTGTGCTCACCTGCAGCAGTGAAAGTGACACGCTGCGACATATTATACTTGAGTGACTAAGATCAGAGTCAACAGATTGGATTCGGCTTACCTCTGCATCGAAGTCGTCACAGACCTCGCGATGTTCTGCCTCCTCATCGTCCTCGGCGCCTTCCTGCAGCTCGTCATCCACATCTCCTTCTTCACCATCCTCGTCCAAAGCGTCCTCCGCAAGATGAGAAACTGACATAGAGTGGGCCGGCCTTGCGGATGTGATTGCCTTGGAAGATTGAGACATGGCCTGTGAGGCTAGTCGTGACTCGTCCGCAGGTTCGCTATCTGAGCGGTCAACATCAATCCGAGCTGCCCGGTAGACTTTCTCTGAAGCATGACATTGGAGAACAATACTTGTAAGTAGATCAAAAGATACGTACTTTGAGTTGGCTTGGACAGTGCTCCCGAGGCGCCAGCAACCTTCAGCTTCTTTGAAGAGCGCTCTGTTTCTTTGTGGCTATCGGTGTTGAGCGACCTCGACGGCACCACGTCCTGAGGCGCCGTGTTCCTACCACCACCACTGCTACTGTTGACTTTCGCCGCCGACGAATCTGCTCTCTTCCGCTTAACCTGGGCTGCCTTCGACAAGCTCACTTCGCCCGCGGGTTGTTTCTTCTTCGCTACATCCAATAGATTAGAACTAAAGGTACGTCTAGTCTTCGCGAGACAGTATACCAGTTGTTGACTTCTTACTAGCTGTCTGGCGTTCCCCAGCAGTCTGCAAGCTTGACACGTCACGTCGAGGCTTTGGCACAATCTGAGCCCACTTGGTGTGAGCAGCTTGGGCTGTGACGCGCGCAGGCCGGTGAGCTGCAATTCAAAGGTTAGTGTGTGCGTATTAATTGTTGCATATATTCTTACCTTCCACGGGAGGCTCGTCGACCATGTCCTCGTGTGAGCTGTCTTGGTCGATCTTTGATATACGACCTACACGGCTAGCGCGAGGACGCTTTGCAGCTGCCGACATTCCTGGCTTAGGCGCTAGCAGTCAGTCAGGATGCCTCGACTTGAACAGGCATGAGGTAGCATTGAAAGCCACCGTCGAGGCACACGGACCCAGGACAACAGGATGGAGTTGTAAACAGCCAAGGCGTAAGTGATGCGCACCGTAGATGATTGTCTGTTAATGGAACGGCGACAGATCTACTGAATGGTTTTGTCGTCGAGACAACAAAGATGGGAGCTGTATGGTTGGTGTTCACGGTGAGTCTTCGATGCTGCCAGTCTTCGAGGTAGTATTAAATGGTTGAATAGAGTTTCATGAAGGGAAGGATGCAAATGCGAACAGAGACGTGAAAGAGAGGAAATGCGCTGGCGGGTTAGGGTGCGGTGTGTGTTGTGACGCCGTGATGCCTTTCACTCTCACAGCTCGGCAACTTGCAGCGACTGCGTGACCAAACTTTACGCCTGACCGAGCCGCGCGCCGTCGACCATCGATCTCTGGACCCAACGTCGACGCTCGCCGTGTCCTCCTCCACCGTCTTTCTCTGCATCTGGGCTCCTTAATTTATTTGTACTTTAGTAAGCTGTGATTCTTGCACGGCCTCGATACATGCTGACAACTGGGCTTCCTAGCCTCTCCGTGTACTATATCAAACCCGATTCCCGAATCATAATGCCGTACACTTGCAACGGATGCACCGCGAGCTTTGCACAACGCGGACCATACCTACAGCATCTTCAACAGAGTGAAAGACCGGCCTGCCAGCTCGCACGCAGGCAACATGAGGAATCTGTACGACGTCCGACTCGTCGGGCTAGCCATCGGCGAGCCACACATTCACGTGTTCCTAGTCATTCACATTCCTCGGGATCTAGGAGCGCCAGATCCACACCTGCATCGGCCACAAATGAAGACGGAGACCACGAAGATGATCCCGTGCCATTCGAGGGTGATTACTTCGGTGCTGCGGGCGACTATGCTGGTGGTGATCTTCCGTTTGGCGACGAGGACCCTGTTGACATGGATCTTGACTCCCGGCGTGAACCAGCAGAAGAGTCAAGCGATGACGAAGCTTCCGACGACGATGCTGTCGGAAATGATGTTGTTCAGCCCACCTTGGAGACCGAGCGAGATGGGCATCCGCTTCCCCCTCCACCTCTAGGTCATCGCATACCCCGGGAACCGCCTTCTGCCGCTCACTCGGGGGACGAAGATGAGGCTGCACAGCCTGCTACCCAGGACGTACAGAATGCTGCTGCAGGTCCAGGCGGAGTTAACCCCGCGGAGCATACACAAATCTGCGAGCCACCCGAGCACATCGTCCCATTTGGTGGCAAGGCTGGCCAACCGACACAGCCAGGTCAAGTACCACGCTCTGGCTACACGACGTATGAAGACACGGTAGATCCGAAGGCAAACAATCCTTACGCACCATTCGCTTCACGTCTGGACTGGGAGATCGCACGCTGGGCCAAACTTCGCGGGTCAGGATCGACTGCGTTCTCTGATCTTCTCGCTATCAAAGAGGTCTGTTTCCGATTCGGTCAGTCATGCTTTATTCCTTACTTATCGAATCAATTCTAGGTTCGCGAACTGTTGGGCTTGTCGTACAAGAACAGTGACGAGCTGAACAAGATCATCGACGAGCAGCTTCCTAATCGACGGCCCGCTTTTCATCGCTTCGAGGCTTGCGTCGGCGGCGAGCACTTCGAGATGTTCTGCCGTGACATTCTCGAGTGTATCCGTGCGCTCTATGGTGACCCTGAGCATGCGGCATACCTATGCGTTGCACCAGAGCGTCACTATGCCGACGCTGACCAGACACTCCGTTTGTACCATGATCTCCATACTGGAGAGTGGTGGTGGGCAACACAAGTACGTTTATCTCCGAGTCTTCAATCTACTCAAACTTTACTGACTGTACACTGTGCAGAAGATACTCGAGAAGGAGGCGCCGGGGGCGACGGTCATCCCCATAATCATATCGTCAGATAAGACTCAGTTGACGATGTTCCGAAACAAGACGGCATACCCCGTCTATCTTACGATTGGGAACCTTCCAAAGGAGATCCGTCGCAAGCCATCACATCGCGGACAGATTCTTCTCGCCTACCTTCCCACAAGCCGCCTCGAGCATATCAAGAACAAAGCAGCCCGCCGCCGGACTGTGGCAAATGTCTTCCACGCATGTATGTCGATGATCATGGAACCTTTGCAGAAACCTGGTGTAGAAGGTATCCCCATGACGAGCGGCGACGGTATACAGTGGCGCTGCCATCCGATCCTTGCCGTGTATGTCGGGGACTATCCCGAACAAGTCCTCGTAACAGGAACATACACCGGCGAGTGTCCAATCTGCCATTGCCCTCACGACGACCTCGGGGCTTACCCATGCATGTCCGATTATCGCGATGTCGACGAGGTCTTCGCCGCTCTAGGTCTCTGTGGTACAGCCGATTACAACAACACTTGCGACGCCGCCGGCATTAAGCCGCTCCAACATCCATTCTGGGAGAACCTCCCATACGTCGACATCTATCGGTCAATCACACCAGATATCTTACATCAGCTCTATCAAGGGATCGTCAAGCACTTGCTCGCTTGGCTCACTAGCATTGTCGGCGAGGACGAGATCGACGCTCGGGTTCGGCGACTACCACCCAATCATACCATCCGCATATTCCGTAAAGGAATCACTGGCTTAACGCGTGTTACAGGTACATCAGGAAAACATGAAATCTGTCTGACGGCCCTGTCAGGGGGTTCAGAAGCCTTCAGAAGCCTTCAGATTGCTTCAGATTGCTTCAGATTTTCAGCCCTCATGACCTCGTTTTTTTTCGATGCTAGCTCGTCAGACAGGATCCTCAGACCGTTCAGACAGCCTGTCAGACCTCCCAGCTCGTCAGCCAAGATCAGCCAGGGCATAGAAATCAACTAAATATTATTCTATTAATCACTACTACTGTTACTGTACAGAATAGCGCTAGCTAATCATAATGTACCATAGAATTGCGCAAGCTACCGCCTGCGGGTGCGCACGGTGGGCTCTCTCCCGCTCGTTGCATTCGTACTCGGTGGCCTGGCTCCTCCTCAGGCTAGGATGCGGCACGCTCATCCTCAGTCACGGGCATATGCACGTCGAGCTGGGGTATGCCCAGGCCCCAGCTGTTGCTCGGCAGGCCGTTGCACGCCGCGCCGGATGCCTGGTGGACTGTTGCTTGTCGCAGTGCTGCTCGTTGAGCTGTGTCGTACCAGGCTCGGGCACGTTATGTACGGCGAACTGCCAGTGGCCCGCGTCGTACCCGTGCGCGTCGGTTCGTGATCCATATCTGTAGGCGGTCAAGTCTTCGATGCTGGTAGATCCGTGCATGGTATGTTAAGACTCGTCAATTGCATACCTGTTGGGTTTGCACCAACGGGCTTGTGTCGTCAGCTGGTCGCACGCCGTCAGACTTCGTGCATGTACTCACACTCCGTCTTCGTCAATATCTCATACTTCGGGCTGTACACCTCGTCCCAGGGCTGCACATCGAGGTGGCACAGCGTCCGCGGGACAAGGAGCAGGAGGTCCACGTCGAACGCCGAATCGACGTACAAGACCGCGCGGCGCAGGCGGGGGAGGAATGGCTTCCCGCCGTTCGCCGTAGAGAGCGCGCATGGTACTCGGCGGTCTGCCTCCTTCTCGTGCGGGGGTACGGCACGCTCGTCCTTGGGAAGTGTATGCGCGTCAGGCAGGGATGACTGGTTGTTGCTCGGTGGGCCGGGTGCCTGGTGGGCTCATCCGTTGTTTGTCGTGGTCTCGTTGAGCTGGGTCGTGTCGGGCTTGGATGCGTCGTTGAATGGTATTGGTTTGCGGCAGACAGGCCCTGGTCGTAACAGTGCGTGAAGCGTCGTATCCGTATGCAGCCAGCTCTTGCTGGCGGGCCCGTGCGCGACGTCTGGTACATACCTACTGTGCTTGTGCTAGCGGTCCTGTGTCGCTTGTGAACGCGCGCACCGGGGCCGTCTTCGCCGCGCTCATATGCTTGGACAAGCATGCTCTGGGGCTGTCTCCGTCGTGTTCCGGCCATCTTTGGTGGGCAATTGCCGCGGTTGGCTACGGGGTCGAGGTGGAAGGCGGTGCACTCACCTAAATTTCGCGCCCTGCTGACCACAGCCCCCCGTCCTCCCTCTGCTAATCCTTCGCGAGCCTTCAGCGATGCTCTTGACGCGTCGCTGAGGCTCGTTGCGGTGCGGTCGCGTAGAGCGCGATCTTGGGCTGCGCAGTAACCTGCTACATACGCTCTCTTGCAGATGGGCCGGCCCGGTGTGTACTGGAGGTCGGCGGCGGGCAAGTGACGGCGAAGCAGACCGGGAGGAGGGGGCTGACAGTGAAGGCGGACAGTGAGTCTGAGGCTTGAAGTCCGGCGAGCGCGCGTGACGTGTCGTGGCTGAGGCGCTTAGCACTTCTCGCTTCCACTGGCCCTCCACACGCACGTCGAACAGCGCCAAACTTCTCTCCTCCTCCTCGACGTCGCCGACCAAACATCGATCGAACTTCAACACTACGCGGTAGCGTCGAAATACACGCGAAGTGCGACGGAGGCGTGAGGATAACACGGAGCTAGGGGAGATGGGCCATGGAAAGGAGGCCAATAGGTTGCCAATAGGTGAGTATGCGCCTGCGTGCTCATTCACCTGCCCACTCGCCAGTCCTCCCGCTCGCCCCTTCACCCTCTCGCCCCTTCACCCTCTCGCCCCTTCACCCTCTCGCCTGTTCACCCGCCCTTCGTTTTCCAGTTCCCTCGTCCGCTCATCCCGCAAAGCACAGACTCTCGCGGCCCTCCGTCAAGGAGAGGAACAGCGGGCGTGCTCGATTTCATGTATAGTGAGTCCCTCGCAACTCATTTGTGATGTGGCGTTCGCACACGGACGAGTGGCTGGCGGGGAGGACGGGCGGCGGCGAGCGGGTGGTGGGCACGAGGTGCGGAAACACGACGGGCGTGAGCATAGCGCACAGTGACCGTGAGCATGCAGTGCAAAGA